TGGGTCTTTAAGAAACCAGACTGTCACAAGAGTGTCGATTTCTGTTTGCTCATTTTGAATGTCCTCACCACTGGCACGGTGCCTGAATCTGAGTTTGCAGTCTAATAGAGCCCACTGTTAAAATTTTCCACAGGGAAGTTTTTACAGTGAGTAGTCCATTAGAGTCGAAAGGAAACAAGGAGAGGTTTTTCATTAGAGAATACTTCTCAGGCATTAGGAGGGGATCAGCTTAGAGAAAAGTCACGCTGCATCATCCCCTGAGGTAACCAAAAACAACTCAACAAGGAAGTTTTTTACTTCCTTGAAAATCAAGCGAAAACATCTTCATTATCAGCTTGTTAGCATGAAGTCATTAAGCTCTAGTAGCAAGCACCACTGGGCTGCAGAAAAGTCGCTCAGATCCGCTTCAGTTTCACAACCTGACAGGGGAAATTTTCCAAAAGCCTGGAGCATGAAACTTTTCCATCTTTTTGTCAAAGAAATGCATCATTGTGATGGATCAAACTAGCACTCTCGGTTTGTAGGACAGGTACTGGGTGTAATTTTGTCTGTGCTGGGTTTCAAAGGCAGGCTGTCCAAGTTTATCGGAAGAGAAATAAATGATGAAAAAAGGGAGAAAGATATGGTACACTTTTACAGCTGCACACATCACACTACGACAGGGTGAATATGAATAATAAATATATTATGAATAAGTGCTTATGTGCTTACATAAAATATGATGAATAGACTATTGAATATCCAGCCTATGCTCTTTAAGGGGAGGCTCCGAGAGGGCTCCATTATTTCTGAATTACCTTCAACCACACTGTAAATGTACACTCTTATGCTGAGAAAGTGGCGCTCATTTGATCCTTTGAGCAGAAGAGAAGAATATGAAGTTTTAAACTAAAAGTATTGGTATGAAATCATCAGTTTTAATCAGCTTCTTCATACTCCTGACTTTCTTTACCCTTTTTCCCTTTGGGTGAAAAGCTATTATTCATGCTTTTCCTTCAGTCAAGGAGTGTCCATTTCAACAAGGTTTGAAGTCAGGAAGTTTAACAGAAGTGAAGTAAAAATTGAGATGAGGCAACTCAATCTGGGTGCACTTTTTCTGGATGAACATTTTATTCTTGGGCGCAGGGACTACAGCGATCCATGCAGGGGTCGAATAAGTGTTAAAGTAGGGCTTTAATTTGCATGTTCCTCCAGGATCCAGTGAACATGAAGAACAGCCACGGCCAGGTTAACATTAGAGGTGCGGAAATAGGAGAGCAATTTTAGAAAATCTGTGAATATAATAATGAAGCAAGAGAGAAAGAGAGAGAGCTTAATCTAGATGGGAAAAATGAGTTATCCCAAATTGTTCCCTGGAAGTGGCAGGTTTGAAATTAGGAACTTTAATATAAAAAGTCAATCATCTTTAGTTGCGGGTGACAAAATGAAGTTGGAAAGTTCTCTTGGGCTAGTTAGGGCTTTTGGGAGCAAGTTCATGTCAAGTTTAAAGTCTTGTTATGTCAGGTTATTGAAGACTCAGTCCAGGTCAGCTCTTCAAACAGGCTGCAAGTCAAGCTTCTCTGACTAAAGAAGACTTCTTTGTCAATGTGTTTGATCAGTGCTACTGGTTGAGACCAAGGTAAAAGCTTTTGAGACTTGAATGGGATTCCTGCCAGAGGAGTCAGTGGTTATTATTACTGCAGGTCAATCAGGGCTTGGAAGTTGATGGGGGATCAGGGGGCTTTTATTGGATATCAGCTTGAGAGTGCCAGAAAATGTGGGGAGGGAAATGGGTATGATGTGCACAAAGTCAGGAATCGGTTTTAACACCATTGGACAAGATTTAGCTTCCACACCCAAAACGACTTTCTTTCTTTTCTATCAGATCTGCCAGAAATTCAAGAGATCAGCTTTAAGAGCCTGTTTTCGACACTTGCATGTCAGAAAGATCTTTACCTCCCACTGAGCATTTTTTGGTCTAAAGATGCCTAATAGACGTCTAAATGTAGCCTAGAGGACAAGTCTAAAATCAGGCTTCCACAGGTCTAAAAATGAAAGTTTTCAGACGTCTAAATTTAGACCAAGTTTAGACTAGCTGGCTAACAGAGGTCTAACTGCATATTGCTCACAGTTGCTGTTCAAAATAAATAATAAATAAATAATGAGTTAAAGTGCAACGTCTAAATTCCGTCTCAAAATATACAGAATCTATACGGTTGAAATTAGGTCTTAAAAAAAGAAAACTAGACATCTAATAGTAGTGCTCAGTGGGATATCATGTCATGGACTTATTTAAAATTGTATTTCTCTTTTTTTTTAAATGAGAGTCAGGCTCCAATACACTTTAAGTCAAATCAGTAAGTATCTCAGCCTGTCATTCCTAGACTAATTCACCGACCTGTCTGATGGGTCTGGTAATAAGAAGCTACACACATCCATCACTCGCTGGCCGGTCTTTGTGTGCACATAGACACCAAGTGCGTCTTTTAAGTACCAACCCTCTTTGAAAACATGCAGCCTTAACTGATGAAAACTGGCATCCTTATTGACTTCAGGCTACAGAAAAACCTTGAACAGACTGACTTAACTCTTGTCGAACGAAAATTCTGAATAAACTTTTGTCCACAAAGTTAACAACATTTAAGAGAGCGTGAGACAGAACCTTAATTACCTAAGACATACTTGCACATCTTTAGCGAGATACAAGATAAAGAGAGAAGGAAAAATCTCACGAGGCTTTAACTCCACAACAAAAAGCCTAATTATCCAATCAGCTCTGTTTAGATTAGGAGCTCCATTATGTTTATTCAGCAGCTTGCCAAGTAGAAAAATATGTGATCTTCTGATGATTCAGATTTTCTTTTGTAATACTACCCCAAACTGAGGTCATACATGCAAAAGATCCTGCACCAATGTTGGATAAGTAACTACTTAAGCAGCAGTTCACATCCTAAACTGGTGTAATTCATGGTCAGTTTAACTGATCTCCCGTTTCAATTTGCATCTAATTTGTGAAAAAATATGATGTGGTACTTCAAATTGAAAAGACCAGGTGGCTCTCTCAAAAATCCCATTTAGCTCCAAGACTGTCTAAGGCTTTAGTTTTATTTCTCCCGATCAATTCTGTCTTTCCCTCAAAGGATGAATGAATGTCCGGGCCGGGGTAATCTGTCCTGCCTTCAGTCTGTTGAGCCTGTGCTTTGTCTTTTTTGTGCAGCGTTTATGGATGTCTCCTTCCCTGCAGCTGCTGGGGCTCACAGAAGACTACAGGAGGAACAAACCAAGAACAACACTTCTCTCCTTGGTCTAATTTATCCAGAGCTTTACTGCACTAAGTCTGGAAGAGCTGAGGAGTTCTTCACTTTTGCCCCATTGTCCTTTTTTGATTTAAAAACTGCTGGCAAGTTTTAAGGCACCAGTTAACTTTTATGTACTGTTTTATCCACGCCCTGATGTTCCCTGAGACGGTTTTCACTTCATTCAAACTTTTCATCCTGAGAAATAAACCTAATTTACTGCCCACACTGTTAAATCTTTCAATAAGACGAAAAACAAACACTTTTCTTCTCTTGGCTGTGGTTTCGTTGGTATTCTGAGTGGGAGACAAACAAACACTACATAAAAGGATAAAGATTTCTGTGTTCCTCTCCTTCATCTTGACGTTCTTTCAGTTACCTTCTCCTGTCCTATTCTTTTTCCTCTGGCAATGTCTGTCTGCGCTGACATTGATGATACCTGATGCCTCCCCCAGCCATAAAAGACATTAAAAGGAAATTTTTACTCTGAGATTTCAAAAACATGTTTTTTTCTTGGCTGTTATGTAATACATTCGGAATATGAAGAGACTTCAAATTAAGATGTATCTCTGTGTGTCTTTGAAGTGTCGCAGGTGTTGGTTCAACTTTGCTCCTTCTAGGCGCCAGAAGTGGCAAAATAATGACTGAGGCAGGCACAAAAACTGGATCTCGAGTGTGATAAAAATCATGTTTTTCTTGTTGTCTGCATGTTTATCTGATGCTACAGGACACGTCACATGAAAACTAAGTGCAAATTTTAATTTCAGAGTATTTCTGCTTTCAAATCGACCTCTCACAGGCCCAGACAGCAGGTTCACTGTGAGATTTCCTATGTCACAACTCCAAGCTCCACCCCCGGCTCTCCGCTCTGCAGGCCAGACTCGGAGAAGTAGAGAGGACGATCGCGGACAAGCACGTGCGGGAAGGATTGCAATGCTTGTAAGAAAGCTATTTATGATTAGCTTAGTTTCCAACAATTAAATAGCTCCTTGATTACCTTCCACTTCTACTACACCAGCAATGCTAGGCTACAAGCTAGCGTAAAGAGGAGTGTGCAGAGCAGCGCTGTCTCTGCCCACGACTCAGAGGCGAATACCTACTGAGCTACTGGAGCTCTGCAGCAAAAAAACCCTTGAAAATGTCACAGGTAACGTGTTTTTGACTAAAAACTTCATAATCGCAATTTAAAGAACACTAAGAATACTCCAATAATAAAATAATATGATCGGAGTGGGACTTTAACTGCCAGTACTTATTCTTCTTGGTAGACTTTCTCATAATAGATAGATTGGTAACACTTCACTTGACGCCTATCTCTATAATAAATCTCTATGTGTTATGCCTATTGTTATAAAACCCTACGATAATTAATGAGTGCTTATGATAGTTATACAAGTTTATAAGCAAATTATAACACATCATATATGTATAATATGTAATAATATGTGTGTAAGTATATGTATAATGCTCTATGTGGGCATTGTCACTAAGTTGTTAACAGTTATAATACATTATAATACCTGACCTTGCTTTATAATGTGTTGTGATTATTACTATCAAGCATTATGATCATTTATGAGTGTTTACAACTATAGTTATACACAGCTATAACGCGGTTATAACGCATTATCAATATATTTATAATGCATTATAGAGATATGCGTCAAGTAAAGCGTTACCAATAGATCCTTTATCCACTTTATTTAGAGTAAAAGTTTGGGCCTAATCAACAGAATTCATGTTTCTGAGTGCGGTTCGACTGGACTTCTGGAAGTATTCATTCTTTGCAGACTTTCTCCCCTCAGAGATCAGAAGTGGCACAATCAATCAAAAGCAGCTGTCCTGGTTACTCACTCCCGCTGATGGAATATTGACAAACGATGACGTTTGAAATGAATGATGGATACCCCAAAAGGTACTAAATCTATACACCCACTTGTAAACTGCCCACCTCATTCAGTGTCAAATCTGCTTTTTAAATCTGTGATGTTTTACGAAGTATTGTTTTTATGTAATTTGTCACAATGTGTATCATACAAGCAGACAATAATGTAAACAGAAAAATTTAGGATTATTCAGATTGATGACTCACTTTGTCTGGAGTTGGCGTCTGAGTGGGTATTTTTTTTCAGCTGAAAACAGCTGTGTACTGGTGGAGCCGGGTTAATGAGAGCAGTGAAACTGCAGCATACAGTACATTTACAGGCTGTGAGTGGAGATTTAAAACCTACACATAACTCTAATAAAAAGGCTTTGAGCATAGCTGCCACACAAAGCCGCCTAAAAATGAGTTTTACAAATCCTTTCATCATTTTGTATTCTACTCAAAGTGAACATGTAAAAAAAAAAAAGGAGTGGGAAGTAAGGATTAAACTCATGCCAACATGTCCAGACACAGACTGACAGAGCTGAATGTTAGCAGACTGATAAAATTGAATTCTGGCTCACAGCTCAGGCCAGATTAGCCTACTTAGCCAGACAGTCCTCTAGCATCCAGGACCATCCTACACTCTGTATCCCCTTCTCATCCTATCTACTGTTCGAAAATTCCTCCTCCATTTCCTTCTCCTCCTCCCCCTTTATTGTCAATGACTAGAGTTTTAATGATTACATCTGGCGGTGGCACAAATTAATTCCTGCCTCTCTGGCAAAAAGCTGTTCCCCACCTGATTATGCAAAGCAGGCCTACATTCCCTCCCTTTGAAGTGAAGGAAAAGCTGCTTAGAGATTCTCCCCCTGAGGAAACACTGCAATATGGGGGAACATCAACAAACCAGAGTTCACACAAAGGTCAGCAACATGGTTAACCCCAATGAAGCCTCACTTCATCTCCACATCTCACTACTTTTGATGTTGTGTTGGTGTAATGACGCACTCATACCATAGACTGAGGCTACTTTTCAAAGGCACGCAGGAGTGGAGCGAAAGTAGGACAGCCGATAAAAACAGGGGTAGAAATGCACCAAATATTGCTCGTGTCTACAGAGTAGTTTCGAAACCTGTGTGAGGCTCTTGTAGCTTTCCTATTTCAGCAATCTTATCTTTGACAGTTTCTCTGCAGCTCCCTCATAAACACTAGATAAGGGTTTCCACATGTAACTGCCTTCGCAACAATGCACTTTGTCAGTCTGTTAAGTTCAAAAGGTAAAAAAATGTTGGAATTCTTGTGCGTTATTGTCCACATTTACTCCAAAACACCCTCTGCTCCGAGCAATCACAGCTTGATGAAAAGCTTCGACACCTCTGTGAAATAGTCCACTCCTCACTGACGCATGACACACGAACAGTCCACCCAGGTAATGAACCACCACCATAAGAGATGATAGTGCTTTCTCAATCACACTGAAGAGAGGTCTGATGACAGATTTCAGATTACTTCTATGAGACTTAGAGCACAATTTAATCAGAGTTGGACAATCCAGAGAGGGAGTAACTGGATGAAAAAAGAGAAAGGCTGTGTTAATAGTATCATATTGCTCTTCTCAGTTATTAAACTAATCTTTCAGACAGGACACTCTCAGCCTCCTGTTGAATGTGTCAAGTCTGAAAACATTTGCCGAGCTGTTACGGCACTTTAAATATTTTAAGACAAACATTAGCTAATAAATATATCAGTCATGGGTATGGAGAGAGAAAAATATTAAAAATTCAGTGACGACTGAAGTCAAAATCTGATAAACGTAACCTGACTTACTGACTTAAGGCTTAAAGGATGGAGATTGTGAATGTGAGTGTCTGTGGTGGTCTTTTAACGTCATCTCTCATTCTCTAACGACCGTTCAAAAAAGCATTCAGAAAGTAAGCCACACACCATGAGCTCTCACTCCTCATAGAATAAACTCTGAATGAATTTTTAATGCTACAATCATATATCATGGAATATTGCAGTCGTGTGGTATTATCAATTTTATTACACAAAGTGTGCTGTATTATGTATGTGAAGCAGTTTAAAATGGCTTTCGTCAATACCTCGTATTATATATGTGCAGCGTCAGCAGTTTCCACAGTTGCGAAATCTAGTAAATGATAAATAATATAAATAAAAAATAAATAAGAGGGGGTCAAATACTAATAAATAAACCTGCAACTGCTGATTGTGTCCAGCCAAAGAAGTCATGGACGTTACATTGTCAAGTCATCACTTTGAGTTGTTGCCCGTTAACAGTTTTGAAACAACAATATGAATTATTAAGAGTTCCTTTTTTGTCCATCCTGCAAAAGTGCATCTTATATTTACAGCCTTTGAGTTTGTTTCGCGAACTTTAAAAAGAAACTGTTTACTGCAGCTTTCCTATAGTGTCATTTCCTTTTACTTCTACTTGCTGTTCTGTCAATTTCAACTGTTTTAATAACTTTAAATTACATTCTAATATTTTATTGATTTGAAGAGGTCTTTTTGATTTTAATTCGTTTTGTCTTTTTGATTTTTAATTGTTTTAATCTCTTTTTTTAATTTCCTCTGTATTTCCTTGCATCTGTAAAGCACTTTGAATTACCTTGTGTATGAATGGTGCTATACAAATAAACTTACCTTGCCTTTCCTGCCTTGAGAGGTCACTTAACATTAACAACTGTTGCCTAAGTTGCAGCAGAAACTCCCTGCATCTTTAGTTAACAACTCTCTATAGGTTCATCCCTACACAACTTTCCTCTCGCCGAAATATCAGCGGTATCGTGAATGATTTAGGCAAAGTTCTGTCGTCATTTTGTAGAGGTGTCATGCAAACAGCACAAAGAAGAGTTATTGTAAACTTTCACCCGCAGCTGTATCATTTATTGCCTTGCAGCAGGCTAAATAAAAAAAAGTTGACTGTCTTTCGCCTATAGCAACACTGACATATTTATCTCCTAGTCCAAAGTACTTCTGCTTTAACCTGCCTCCTCTTCCAGCCGGTGGTGTGTAGAGGCTACACTGTCTTTGTTTGTTTGAGCGAGTTGCAAGCCAGTCCCATGGGGTGAACCCAGTGGTAACAACAGCAGAACAAACAAAAATGTGTATGTTTGGTTCCATTTGTTCCCACATATCTTTTCCGCACAGGAGGATACACGCTATTTTTTCCTTCTAATCCGAGACAAAAACATGGGTCCCCAGGTCTTGCCGGTCTGAGGCACCACTAAAATGCCGAGTCTGTGTTGATAAGGGGACACAGTACCGTTGTGAGGCTGCAGGGAGGGCTTGTGAAGTGCCTTTCCATGATCAGGAGGAGCAGGTCTAAATGTAAAGTATTTTGATAAAGGAACGGCAATCTCCTCCCACAGGTCTTCAGCTTCCGCCTCGGGACAATCATTCAGCACTGTCTCAACCACAGTGTAGTTCTCCGAGGTGGACAGTGTGCAGGTGGAATAGACCACAATGCCTCCTGGACGCACTGCTGACAGTGCAGACCTGCAGGGAGGACAAAATTCTACACTTAATAACAAGACAGTGGATTTCCCTTTCAGCGCTGAATTACTTTAGGCTGCACACTAATTGTCACCTCTAATGTATATATCTACATTCACATTATAAGTTTCTCCTCCCTGAAAACATTAAATTATATTTTCAATTGACCATTTAAGATACAATCTGCATGGAGCTGTTACAGAGCTACTGGTCAGAGGTAACTACCAAACAATTAGTAGTTTCTGTGTGTAAGATAAAGTCAGAATCGTCTAAAATGAAACAAATTGATTTCATTTCTCATCAGAACAATAAAAAATGTGAAAACAAAAGCAAATTTATCTCAGGTTGGGGATAAAGCTTACCTGAGCAGCTGAGCTTGAAGCGCAGGCAGTCTGGCTCTTTCCCTCAGTCGCTGTTCCCCCTGTTGGCTGCTGCTAGAATACAACCAGCTCCTGTCATTAGAGCAGGGAGCATCAACCAAAACCTGCAACAGTGAGCGAGAGCAGGAAATGTCAGTCAGATGGGTCAATAGTGTAAAGGCAGCGAAAGAAAGGGGTCAAAGAGCAAAAGAGAGGGAGCAACAGCATTTGAATTATTAATGAAGGTAAAAATAAAGAAACAGAAAAAGAAAAACCCAGGGGTTCTTCAGAACAATGCGAGGTAGTTTTCCCCCCTAATTTCCCACTGAGACTAGTCCCACTAATTTATCCTTGTTTACTCAAAACCATCACTGCCAAAAAGAGAAAAAAAGCAGCTCAAAGTCTTTTTGAGCTACTTCTTGCCTTTCTGTCTTTGTTCACACTCTTTACTCTCCGGTCTGCGCTTTCCTGTTTTCAATATTTTTTTCCACAATCAGTTACTTGAAGTTCTTTGATTCCTCCAAGCCATTTGTCTGCCTGTTCTTGGCTGCTTTTTTGATAAACAGTTTTCTTATTTTCTTCTGGGCTTATTAGCATCTGTTCAAAGGCTTCACATTCTCATCGTTCATTTCTAACCAAAGCCTCAAAAGGAAAAGATGGGTAACAACTCAGTGGTTTGGATGCTGCAGGAAAATTCACAGGCAAGCTGTCATACACAAGTCTCTCCCCACCTTGTCATATGTTCCTGCTTCACTTTGGCCAAAAGAGCATCCATCCTGTGCTGACACAATCACTCTGGTTCTGAGTGAGGGAGGCAGAAAAGACTCCAAGGTTCTGCTCAGCCAGTCTCTTCTGTGAGGGTCCGGTTCATTACAGCATAGAAGTTCTGGAGAATAACACAGGACATTATAAATTATCATATATTAAATTGATTGAAATGTGTTTTACAGGGTGGACTAAAATATATTTTGTCTAAGAGCTTCTGTTGCCCCCGAAGTTATAAGTTGATGTATTTCAAACTGTATTTTAATGTTGTTTAATCTTTTCCCACCCAGTTTGAAAGCTGTACTAAAAATAAAGTTCTCTATGCACTGTATAAATAAAATCAAATGAATAGCTACAAACTTCATTCAAAATGTTTATTTCACCTGGGGTGGCACACTGCATCACAGCTATGGCTTTCCCTCCAGGAGCAGAACAAAGATCCAAAACCTTCTCCCCATCTCTGACTTTAAGAGCAAGCACTGGGAGCAGTGAGGCAGCATTCAGGAGGTAATACTGCTTCAGCTGGCCATGCCTGTGGGTCTGAGAGGGGAACCGCAGGGGATGCGGGTGGATGTAACACTGTAATGAAGGATGGGGCAAACCAAGTGAAGGCTCGAACTGAAGGTCCTGAGAGAACACATGAGAAGTGTTGTCATCAGGAGGGCACTTGGAGATGAAGTGAGGTTGTAACAGAGAATTGTCCTCTGGTTTGTATTTTGAATTTGTCACCACTGAGGGGCCATCACACAGCAACCTGGGGATGTCTGTTTGCTGCAACAATGAAGAAAAGCCCTGTGACTGGAGAATCTGTGTAATGCCTGTCACAGCACTGAAGCGATTGAGCATGACTCCATACTGCCAGGAGTGAGGGTCCAGAAGCACTGCCCTGTGGGAATAAAGCAATCACAGAAATAAAGATAAAACCATTGTTATGTCTATGTAATGCAGCAATTATTTCACGCAACATTTACCTACCTGGCAGATGCCCACAGGTCACCAAGCTCCTCACCGTACTGTTTGTCAAAGTGGCTGAGCACTGATGGACAGGGAGGTCTGTCTTTTTTGCGCCTTTTTATTACCTGTTGAAATAGACCATAGTCAAGATCTAGGAACATCAAAAACCCCGGAGACCCACATGAGGACATTTCAGACCCAAAACAGCAATATTTATACATGTGAAGACCACCAGGACTTAAAGGGATATTGCGGTATAAAATTAATTTAGTTCAAGAGTTAATTCAAGAGTTTGTTCTGAGCATTATTTGTGGCTATAGAGTGGCGTTTTGGTTGATGTTTGTTTATGGCTCCTCAGACCGCTGTGTATTGCTATCGTGCGGTTGTTACTAAAGTTGGTATAACTACAGAAGCAAGCGGTCGGCAACATTCATCTCTCGAGGGGGTGTCAAACTCGGTGTTACGGTGTGTTTGACTCTAAATTAATATTCCTTTAAATATCAAGAGTGGACATCGCACAAACATTGAATAAATCAAAAATATATTTACTTGAAAAAAATCTATTTAAATATAAAGCTCTCAATTTTAAAATACATAATGAAATAATTAACATTCTTAGTTAAAGCTGATTTCCTCGTCTGAAGATCTTGATCTCAGGTTGATCATACATCACATCACATCGCTGCCTCGTGTCTTGTACAATCACTACCTCTGGTGGAAAGTATTTGTAACACCCAACTTGTCAGTGAATAACTGATGGCATTTGATGTTAGACCTCACCTGGTTAGATGTAAATGACAGGTTTATGGGCTGTAACAATGAGCTGATGTAGACTGACTGGGATAATGATCTAGTTGTTGACAGAACTTTTGTACCGGAAAGCTGAAGTGTGTTTTCACATCCAAACACTCACTTACTTTGTTGAGCATATATGCTACAGGCTGTCCAGACTCTATTCATTCTCGGTATGTCTAATTATCCCCGACATTTTCAGCCAAAAGCACTTGACAACAAATTTTGCAAACCACTGAAATAATCCGTCTTCTTTAATTCGACACAGCAAACAAAATTTGCGAGGGCTAAAATAGTACAAAAATAAATTCTAACAGCGGGTTTCTTGTGTAATTTAACATGAAATGGCCGAAAAGAAAATATCTGCTTTAAAATAAGGCGAAGGTAAACATTTATTGCACAAAATAGTTAAATATAATCGTTTACCTGATTGCTGGAGACGTTTTTTCGCTCTTGGAGTTTTGAAACGTCCCCGGAAACTGTGTGACCGTAAACGTTACATGTCCACAGCGGAAGTGTTGGTGTTGGTTTTGGAGGTTTAAAGCTGGTAACCCTCCTGTAAAATCTGTAAAGCGTGTTTGGAGACATACATTGAGGTACTCTGTTATCAAATTTAACGCCAGTTGTGAAAACTTTGTCAAAACGAGCGCGTAAGTCTCAAACCAATGACACGTGCGTCTCTTAAATCTGTCCTACCTAAACCTTACATTACTATAGTTCCACTCTTTTTTTTTACCCTCGCCCATAACGCGTCGTTGTCATTTCCGGTTAATGGTTGGCGCCAGAAAATTCGGTAACTGTTTTTAAAAATATAAAACACCACTCCAAGGAAGGCCAGAACAACTTTGACCATTTTAACTGAGATTTGGCTGTGTAAGAAGCAGTTTCCCATTGGTCTTACCTGGTTTCTTTCTCAAGTAACTCCAAACTTTTTAAATGTTGAACTCCAGTAATCCTGCGAGATATTTTCTCCAAGAAAAACAAGGTAAGCGGGATAGCTCCTGAATGTGAACCACAATACTGGGTTTGTCAGTTAAACCTTCTTCTCAAACCACAGTGCTTACACCTGAAATGAAAACGTCGTGTCACAGCATGTGTAAAATTTTGTGGTGTGCATTTCTTTAACTGAATGGGCTTGTTTCAAGCTGGCAAATGTTCAAAATCAAATAGGACCAACTGGTAAAACATAATAAACTCAAAATAGGATCTGCTATGAAACTATTCATAGGCCTACTGATATTGACTGATAAAACCCAGGGACGCACTTCATATATTCCTCTGTATCTACTTGTATCAATGTGTATAAGACAGTGCATATGATAAATATAGCAGACATCATTGTTGGATAAACTAATGTCTTTTTTTTTTAAATCAAAAAGTCCTGTTCTGTTTTGAATGACGTTTTGGTCTAATTGCCATCTGTTCTGTTGAATTACTGTAGGGTACCTTGGGTTTTGTGTGAAATTTACAGTTTTGTAACAACTTTCTTTAATCTCTGCACTTCATCACTCTTGGTTTTGTGTTTTATTTTGAATCGAAGATGTTGACACCGTTCTTCTTAGCAATCCATTTGTGTATTAGTATTCTATGTAGATTTGCTGTATAGAAAAACACTGTCACTCTTATTTTTATGTCAGTAAACATCCACAAATATCTTCCATCTTAAAAAACAAAACATACACTCAGAGGAGAATTTAAGTTTTACTTCTGTTATTGATGGAATATCTGTTAACAAAAACATTGATTAAATATACAATACTTTGGCGAAACCATCATTTAAAATGATTTGGGTTTGCCAGAGTTCCATAAATCTGTGGCTTCACAATCTTTTGAGAGATACAAGAATAAGCACCACGATTTGTAGACATATCCTACCATTCAAGAGCATCTCAAACGTCTAATGCTTAGTTCCATGTGTCTCTTTATAAACCTTTCTTTTGCAAAGGTCCTGCCTGGTTTACATGGCAAACAGGATAAGGAATGCAACCATCAGACAGAAAAGACCCATAGCTTCAGACAGAGCGAAGCCCAAGATGGCGTAGGAGAACAGCTGCTGCTTCAGAGACGGGTTCCTGTTGAGAAAGAGATGAGCAGCTGAGACAAAGTGGAGGTACAAAATGAAAACCGTTAAAGAGAGCAAGCAGACCCAGAGTCCTCTACACTAAGGAATAGAAACATGAACCTCTAAATCTGTAGAAAGCCATGGTAAAATAGATTTATTTCCAATTGTTTAATCATGCACAGACATCATTCTCACAATTTCCTCTCTACGTTACATTAAATTTCTTATATATTTTAATATAAGTGTCAAATGTGCTGTAGTTTTATAGTGATTTATTTTATTAGAATAAAATCCTTACCCTTATCATCAGATTAAAAAAATAAATAAAAGTTATTATCACTTTTTGAGTATAGTCTAGGGTGCTGATTAACAAGCCCAACATTCTCTGCCTAGAGCCAGATGGCTCAAACTAACAGGTGATGTGTGTAACTAACCTGGCATATCCAATAATAAGGCTACCGAACACTGTTCCAATCCCTGCTCCGGATCCTGCCACTCCCACGGTGGCAGCTCCTGCTCCAATGAACTTTGCAGCAGTGTCGATGTCGCGGCTCACAGCGCTGGTCTGGAATGCCCTCACTGCCACCTGCTGCTGGGAGGCTACAACACTCTGTGGTGCCAGGAGAGAAGCAGTCTGGAATACAAGAATGAGGAGAGAAGGTTAGTATGAAGCAATGGTCAGGATAAAAGATTACATTGTGAGACTAGATGGTTTTTGCTAGATAGAGAGAGACTGCTTAAAGGAACCAGCTTTTAGCACTTCTTTTAATTGATTTCTCATTTGATTAAATGATACAGTTCAATAAGCTACAATGGTCCACTGTGACAATCCCCTTTTTTATTTATCGGATTCACCACAGCTCTTTTTAGTTTCATTAAAACTGAAGATGTAAAGTCCGACATTTTATTGGTTAAAATGGGTATACTTCCACCAGGAGAGTTTTTAAAGTGCTGCTTGTGTGACAAGATCGACAAGTGCAGCTTTCAATGTAATTTTTCTGATGACATGACACATGGTAGCTCTGCTGATCTTTCCCTTGTGCATGTCTGTGTGCATTACTCTTTAAGGAAAAAAAAAACTCACCAAAACTGTCTGATTATATACTTGTTGGTAACCTGAAAAATTACTCTGATACATTTAATAACTGTAAAAAGTATATAGTCTAATTAATGATAACATTGGTAGTGTGGGAGCTTGTTTTATAATGAAATGCATGAAAATAGAGAGAGCCAAATAATTGTGCTTAATTTGAATGTTTTATAAATTCAGAATTAAAAACTAAATTATCTTGCAAATCAAATTTACTCGAGTTCTAGAGATAAGAAAGTGGGAAGTATTATCAAGAGTGCCCCTAATTCTGCTTATTTTTTTCAAAGTCTTTGAATCAGTCAATATTGTGGATATAAGTCTCAACTTACCTCTGCTTTTCTGGCATCTGAGACTACTGCTGCAGAGAGTGGTCTGTACAGAGCCCGAGATCCAGCACGGATCTGCATCATGGAAAAAAAAAAGTTTAGATGTTATTGCCAAGGTTACATGTACTTTACTCTAGACAGCATCCAAAAAATGTGGACTTTTAGGACAGTGACATTCTGTATTAAATAGATTGCGCAGATCCAGAAGAGATCATCCCAACAAAAATCAAAAGGTATTAGTTTGGGGCATTTCTGCTCTAATAGCTCAATTGTCATCTCAGTCAGAATCTGAATCAGAAGGGGTTTTATTACCATTGTCGATGAACAGGATTCACAGACTAGGAATTTGTTTTGGCATGATGGTGCAACAATAAACAGAGAGAAATATAAAATAATACTAGAATAAAAACTAATAAGAGCATGCAAGAAATATATAAAGTGTAAAAATATAAAATATAAAAGGTTATGTCAATGCTATGTACAATAAGTATAAAAGGCTATGTACAACTAAACAATCTTGAACAACAGTGCAGTGGGAGGAGTGCAAGTATCAAAAAATAGATTCTAGATTTACATCAAACTAATCAATAAAACCTTTAAAAAGGTAAAGTAACTTTAAAGACAGGGAAACGGTAAGGATCCTAGGTCGTGCCTCTACAATGTAGAAAACAGGGCCGCCCTTGCAGGTGTGTTGATTGACTGACTGACTTTAGCAGTGGCTCAAAGACTGCTAACTTCACACACCCCAGTGACATTATTAGACATACCTTACAACAGCTGTTAGGTTAGACCCAAACACATGCTGTAAGCCTCAAACAAACTATTAAAATATCAACAGGTTGCTGCACTATAAAGGCTAATAAGGTTGTCACTTCCATTCATTTAGGCAGACTTACCAGAGAGGGCGTGGAGACGAACTTAGCACAGGCATACATTATGAAGGGACGTAATGGTCAGGTCAACCAGGAGAGCTGGCACAAATTCAGAGTCCACTCTATACAGAGAACAACACATGACATACAACAATGTTAATTTGCAGTTTTGTAAATCCTTAGCCAGTTTGCTGAATAAGAAAGTACAAAGTGTGCATATTGGACACACACAAGTAAGGTCAAGATTAGCAACACGCCGAACAACAGCGCTAAAACAAGCTGGTTGAAAATTTAGAGGTGCGAGGCAGAGGTGTAGTCAGTAAAGCTGCAACGGTTTGTAGTTACATATATGTGTCACAAATCTATATTAATTTCAAACACTGATCAAGACTGAAGAGTTAGCTCTCACCGGTTTGAAGTAGAGGTCGAAGACACGAGAGGCTTGCGCATGCGTGGTGGAAAGTTAAGGGTTGACTTCCGGTGTGATGACGCGAGTGCTCTTAAGTACATAACCATGGGAGGGAGGGAGGTAGAAGTATATTCAATTCAGAGTGTCCTTTGTGTGCAAGAGTACGGCATGTCCAGTCTTTAATAGGGGAAATGAAAGTAAATTTTTGAATAGTGTATTGTAGTGTTGTGCTAATATCTTTGTCACAGTGGAAAACGGAATAAATATGTGGTTTAAGTTTGGTCCTTAAAGAAAAAATAAACATTTTTTTACTCCCAAATCTCTATATCAGTTATAGTGGAGAGTGGGGTATGTTGAGCCACCCCCTCTTACTTGGAAATGGTAAAAGAAATCGATAATGTGACCAAATATTTAGGAGATGAGCAGAGCTGACCCAAGCCTCAATGGGGCCCAAAGCAAAGTTAGATTTTGGGGCCCTCTATTTCTGCCAATAATATTGTTTGTTGATCATTCACACACCTTCACAAATCTCTTCGATTAACATTCCATAACATGCAAACATAACCTTTATCTTTGTGTTTTTTTTTCTTTTCTTCCTCTTTCTTTTCTCTGCTCCTGAAAGATATGTCCTTTTTTGCAACATTGTTTTTCCCCACAACTGCCTGCTCTTTGGATGCTCAGTGCACATTACACAGCAGACGGCACATAATGGTAGCTGAGCTTCGACATATCGGTAGTAAGAATCAAAGGCCTACATCAGCAGCAGCACTAAAATGTTTTTACTTTATTTTAATTTTACATGGATATATATTTGATCATACAGAAAGCATCACTCATGCATGCAAATAATATATTTTTTAAAATTTTTTTAAATTTTTGATTGCTCTTGGGGACCCATTATTGGCCATTGGGCCCTAAGCAGGTGCTGAGTTCGCTTATGCCTTGGGCCGGCTCTGGAGATGGGCATCAATTCATGGGGTCTGTGAAGGTTAGAAGCACATGGGTGAAGGGGTTAGACATCTATTTACAAAAAAAAAAAAAACATTTTTCACTCTTGAAAGTGAATTAAGTCTGTCATAAGTTTTACTAGAATTGTGTTCAAACCAAAAAAGATCATTTTAGATTTGTTTTATACATCAGTTGTGGTATCTATGAGCTACAACATGAGGTCAAAAACCTAGCATAAAAGTCCACCATGTTAACTTATGAGGACTAATAAAGTCATAATAGTTGTTCTGGGGTAAGTTGAGCCATTTGGCCAGTAAAGAAAGTAAATTAGTCTGATGAGAGGATCAGAGTTTCAGTTCAGATTGTTGAAATGTGTTATTTTTTCTTTTAAAAAATACAGCTGTTAATGTTCTGAATCACTGAAAGACATTCTCATGTTACAATGGCTTTTTGCAAAACAGCTTTTTAACAGTTATATGCAATAATAAGAATGAATTATTGTACCAGTTGAAAAGCATATAATAGATAAAAATATAAATGAATACAAAAAATACAAATGCTGGGTAGGAGAGTGGGGGGTAGAAGGGATATGGCTCAACTTACCCTGCGTCTATGGTCAACTTACCCCATACACGGGGTAAGTTGACCATAGGAGACCTTTTTTTTTGGCATTCTATATTATCAAGACAGTTATGTTTACACTCATTCTGTTGGTTTGCAGGGATGCACAAAATCTTGAAATATATGCAAGATACACTAGTTAGAGACAAAACGATCATTGACTTGATGTAGTGATCCGAAATATGAAAAATGGCTCATCTTACCCCACTCTCCCCTACCGGCTACCAAAATGCCAACTAGGATCTTTGTGGATCTACATTTATCATTAAGATTACAGGATAATATCATTTCCTCTTGATAACTGTTTACAGCAATAGTTTCAATTCCTGTGCTTGAATTTGCCTGAGCTGCCATATTCAGCTAATTTTGGGTGAAGAAGATGAGCTCAAACTACTGTATGTAGAAATGAAATTTTATGAAATAATGTGTACTAATTTAGGCTGTAATGCAAAAGCAGTATTCAACACAGATTTGCAGTGGAACCAATTCTCACCTTTAGGAACAGTGATTGGTCAGCTGTGAGATTAACTGGTCCATCAAATGGGACTTCATATTTTTGATGTTATTACACCTTTTATGAACATTTGTCATCAGGTGAGTAATCAATGTTTGAATCAAATCCATTATTCAGATGAGTGTGTTGAGTGTCAGTTCTTGTGTGTAAAATTTACAGATTTACACTCAAGGTACCACTTTGAGAGAGACCCACATGTTGACTTAAAACACAGCAGGAAGCTTTCAAACAACAGAAAAAGATGGACTTGTTACATAGCCAAAAATAATAATGTTTTCTAAAAAGGTGGATTAAGAAAAAATGGTCAAGACTGTAAGAACTGATGCTGTCTGATGCTTAAATCATGATAGTCTAATAATTTCACTGATGGTCTATTCACATATCCCACAAAGAGATAGAGCAGAAATGATAAGGGCCAATGTTGGAGTATGGCGTTCAAAAGGTTTTCTCTGTAATGTAGGACAGGAAACCACACGGGGGCAGCAAAAGACCAGCAAGACTATGATTTGAACAGAAATTTTTGATTTTGCCTAGACAGCAGCACTAGACTGGGGAATGGAAGGTGTTACAGGCTACAATGTGTAAATGTATGAAAAAAAAAATCTGTTTGCAAAAGAAATAAAATCCTTAGGTCATCAAAGAAGTCAGTGGAGACCAACTTACAGTCATTTCAAATGTTTAATGATGAGATTTGCTTTTGTTGCATTTTTACTGTATGCTTTTATGTACATTTTTTTTACATTGTTCAGCACAGGTATAGATCAGAAAACCCTGATAGAATTGGTCGATAATGAGTGAAAAACTATTGATACATCAGGAAATCATGGTTTTGTGGCTGCAGCCTCCATTTCTCAGTCAGCAGGGTGGTGGGTGGAAACTGAGATGCATGATTAGCAATGCAACCTGATGTACAATTTGTATAAGATTATTTGATTTTTGCTCTCAAATAACAAACAAGAAGTAGGTTATATACCCATATTTCTTTACAGAAGTTTACAGATGTAATTGATACTTAAGAGTGTGATGCAACTCCTAAGTATCAATTGTAGGCTACATATTTGAAGACATTTTTGTGCATTTATAATGATGGTAAATGTACTCCTTATATATATTTTCCCCTGATCTAGTAATATTTAAGCAATGACCTCCACACTGCCCTGACCATGGGGAACAATGATGAGTCTGCAGCAATCATCTATTTCATGCATTACGCCCTGATTCACCTCAACACCTTTACATCATGCAGATGTCCGTCTATGCTTTCTAAATATAACTCTAAATTCACATTAAATATTAATTTCACTGGAGCTGAAAGTGGGCTTCCCCTCTTCAAGGATTCATCTCTGGCCACCCCCGCAGAGGTACGCTCTCCATTTGGCGATGCGGAAGGGAGATTCCTCAGCTCTTCCAGTCATACACCCCTCCTTCTCTGTGTGATGTTACCCTTACGCACCACTATGAAAAGCGGAGACGTGATTCTCTGGGCGAATCCCTGCCCACGTCACTCTCAGTCCCGTATAAATAGGCAGAGCAGCCAGTGTGGTCAGACTCAAGCAAAAATCGCTCTTTCGGAAACAACTATTCTTCAAACAGTGGATTATTGGATTGTCTTCGTTGGATTTTAGTGCCAGCAACGAGTAAGTGTCCAAGCTACTGTGGAATCTTCTTAAGCTTTTATTTTAGAGCTTACTTTTTTTCACAAACTTGTGATCGGGACAGGGAGACGTTTCAGGAAAATTGGTTTTATGTTTGTAATAGACTCAGTTTTGATTCTGTGCAATAAGTACGAGTATAAACTATAGTGACTTTTGTTTTGAACGCGTGCGAACATACGACTTAAAATTTACGCATGTCCTCTCTGTTCACAGACCCCCGGATAAAAGCACAATGACTTTGAACAAGGGTGACAAGTTGCGGAACATGGACAAGAGAAGAGGAAGCATGCCTTTTCCTATGAATCTGCCGAACCTACACCGGAGAAGCATGCCCGTGGACGACCGGGACCTGCGCGCCACGATGCCACAGACGGGCCAAACAGACGAACTGTCCAACCTCCTGCGCTGCACATCCTACTCCCCGAGCGAGCAGCACCGTGGCAGCTGTGCGTCCGACTCCTCCGACTCTGTCATCTCCACCGGCAGCGAGACCGAGTCCCAGGTCTACAAGGTGGTTCTCCTCGGGGAGCACGGAGTCGGCAAGTCCAGCCTGGCGCGCGTCTTTGGAGGAGTTGAGGATGCTGGTCACGACTGCGATGAACCAGGTAAATGATGATGCTGAGGAGGATGAGTCATCAACACTCGCAACCCCCACACACTCTTCGTATGTTCATTGTCCGGGAAGATGCATGTGATAACTAAGGATGTCAAAGGTCAATCCACTCACTTACAAAAATACACACAATTAATTATGTAATCAAGGGAGGGATTGTTAAAAGGATAAAGATGCAGTTCTTCAATAACTGTCACGATAAGTTGAGCAGCTACTTTCTACTTTACACTACCTCAAAAGAAATCCTTTAAAAAATACTAAACATCAATATCATTTGCAGCTCTATTAAACCTTTGGTTTTATTGATCCACTAGGACATTACACAATTAATGAAGTCCAGCTGATGGGATAGAAAAACAAATCGGGGTTCTTCTCTTTGCATGAAAGTGGGTACATAAATTGATTATTGCTATTTCCATCTACAGGGAGCAACCAGTTCTGCTCTCAGCTCCATAGCTGTCAGAAACACATTCAGTAGCATAATGTGGGGGGGTGTAAAAGGCCACTGACTGCTGAGATCAACTTTCTGCTTTAGTGTGTGAAGACTACAGCAAAAGACAGAAATGTGCAGAAATTAATGTGAAGAAAAGCAAAATTATACACTGACAAAAATATATTCTCTTGCTTACTTTTGTCATTAACGTTATTTTTCTTTTTCCCCCCTTAGGGAACACCTATGACAGATGTGTCCTTGTGGATGAAGAAGAGGCATCCATCATGTTATATGACATCTGGGAACAGGTGAGTTGTACATTACATCATTTATGCAACCAATTAAAGTGATTCCATACATGAAATTACTCAGATCGGTAACAGATGGGATCAGACGAGCGTGAAGCTAAGATTGGAATGTGTTTTTCTCTTGCAGGATAACAGCCAGTGGCTGAAGGAGCAGTGCATGAGGATGGGAGACGCCTACATCATCGTATATTCAGTGACAGACAAATCAAGTTTTGAGAAGGCCTCAGAGCTTAGGATTCAGCTGCGCCGGGCCAGGCAGTCAGAAAACATTCCCATAATCCTTGTGGGCAACAAGAGTGACCTTGTGCGGTCGAGGGAGGTGTCTGTAGATGGTAAGTCAGTGTTTTTAGCTAACTTTTGAACTGAAATTATATGCCTAAAGTCTCAGAGCTACCCAGATAATAAAAATGTTAATCCTAGAGGCAGTAGGGTCTGTAGGAAATGTACTTTATTTAACATTTGAAGCGTAGAAGCATTTCCTGAGGCTTTTCACGATCAAATCTGAAGGAGTTGGTTCAGTCTGATTAGCTATGCAAAAGTCAGGCTCCATTTCTCACTTGACTGAGCAGGCTCAGACTCAGGCCTAAATCCAGAGTACAATGCAAAACAAAGCAGTCTGGTGAAGATCTAAAGTAAAATCACTTCATAAATAATTTAGTAGGGCTAAAATTTGTTTTGTTTGTTTTATAATGAACATCTTCAAAAGTACTAATCTTTCATCCTCTTCATTTTCTGTCTCATAGAGGGAAGTGCCTGTGCAGTCGTATTTGATTGCAAGTTCATCGAGACATCTGCCTCCCTTCATCACAACGTGCAGGATCTATTTGAAGGCATCGTCAGACAGATCCGCTTGAGGAAAGACAGCAAGGAGGAAAATGCACGGCGCATGGCCAACTGCAGGCGCAGAGAAAGCATCGGCAAGAAGGCCAAGCGGTTTCTAGGCCGCATGGTCGCACGCAAGAACAAGAAGATGGCTTTCAGGCAGAAATCAAAGTCCTGTCATGACCTGACAGTTCTCTGAGGAACGGGAACAGACGGGACAGACGGACATTCTTTTCTTTGGCCTCTGAAGACCAGACGCTGTGTGTGTTTTAACACTAACCCTAAAAGACTAATAGAGCTGTACAGGAATATATTTTTATTTTTTAGACACCTACCAAAAGCAAAGAGAGGACCTAATTAATAAGGGGAATATCATTATTGTGATAATGGGGATAACCTGCATGAAGCTTTGCAACCATTTTAATTTATTTTATTTCATTTTTGTCTGCCTTAAACATGTTGCTGTCATAGTATGATCTGTTTGTATGAGAAAATCCACAACAGCTTTTTTTTTTTTTTTGTCTGGTGAGTTGCAAAGATTGCCTTGTTGTTGGGTTACTTTTGAGCTCCTTTACTGGACAGGATGGATGTATATAATATTGCATGAATGATGCTGAAAGCAACATACATCTCATTATTCTAAAAAGATGCAGTAAAGGATCACAGTGCTAGGTCATCTGGAGTCATATTTACTTGAAGCGTGGTACGCAGGTTCGTGCTTCAGCCAAGTTACTGAGGACTAGACAAGAATAAGAGAAAATTTGTGTTGTTATCTGTTTTTCCATTACACTAAATCCGGGTTGTGAATGTATGAGTAAAGCAATAAGTTATTTTAGTCTTGTGAACCATGAAATTATTGGGGAATTCTTTGTTTACGTTGATTTCCTTTTCCAATAAAAAATGAAAACAAAACTCCGAATCTTCTATGTCATTTGTTCTCAAAGCAAAGTGTGATAGAAAAGACAAAAGGTGTTCTTGAGGCGATATACATCCTCATGAATATTTATGTGGTGGTATCAGTGGAATAGAACCTCACTGGCCATTGGTTTTACAGGAAGGAAACAAGGTAGTTAAGCATGTTTATCTGAAGGTGTTAACCATTAATCCACCAAAGGAGTACAAGTGTGCAATTTTTCCACCCAATTTAAACTTCTCTCACACCTCTCAGCGGGAGCACACTTTACATTTGGAGAAGGTAGGAAATAAACCTTTTGTTTGAAATGGAAGAAAACTTAACAAGTTATGCTACCTCACTTAAGAAGCCTTGCTGCCATCTCTAATTGTTGCCTTGATGTGCCATCTTTTTTGTTTAGTTACCGTATATCCAGTTTGTTGTTACACTTGAGATACTTTGCTGGATTGTTGCTTGGTATTGCTCAAACAGCACATGTTGCATGAGTTAACAGCTTAATTTGTGGTTATCCTTGAAAATTTATGCAGGGTTTATGTGCAAAATGTGAAATCTGTGTCTATGAAAGAATTCCATGGTGGTAAATCAGTTACAAAGCAGAAATGATGTCGATTGTCTGACTGTGGCCATGTGGTCTGAAATGCTGTGAATCTGTCGCTTTTAACAGGGACTCATGGCTGACAGAAAAGTTACTCCAATGCACATCCTAGAGATCATAGTGAGTAACTTTTAAAAATCTTCATTATCATTCACAACAAAATAACAAAACACCACGTCGAGACAGTCACAAAACCTGACGTCATTCTTTGTTTTGCAGTTGGTGATTGCTTGCTCATTTGCACCTGCATGTTGTGGATCAAATGTTAAAATTGGTGTCCCAGAAAACTATGATGGTATTTTCCCATGGTATCTAGCCAAGGTAAGGCATTTCAGTTTACTTGAATAATCAAACTTTTGCTGCGCTTGCAATAACTGCTTTCCGATTGGATGTGTGAATTCAAAAATTGTCCCAATCTTCTGACCTGTTATTGTTTTTCTATGATACTGATTGATTTTGGATGTGTAGCCTCAGAAATTGAGGTTAAATTGTGGTTTCAGATACTGTCTAGTTGCAAACAAGCACTGTTTAACCTGTAAAAAGGTCCCAAGTCCTGCGATTGATTTAGTATTTTATCCGATGAAACAGTACACACCTCAGGCTTGATCTGCTGAATTTCCTCTTAGATGAAATGTTCCCTGATACCCTTGTGGTATTTTTCCAGGGAGAGAAATCTATTAAAAAAAGGTCATCTCTGCTCTATAGGCAGATAATAAAGAACCAGAGCTGCACCGCTCTCTCTTTTTTTCTCTCCCATCTGCGCTTAAGGCTGAAGATGTATGAACATGCTGCCGTCATCACCAGACTATAATTGGCTTGTTCACAATGCTCCTCAAACATCAGACCCAGCCTCTGCACTCAGTCCGACTGGGTGGCGGGCAGGCTGTTTTGTTCATACATGTCACTCAGGCGTCCTCTGGATTGTGCTACAGCATGAGCATCTGGCTCTGTAATTGGTTGCATTATGACGTCGTTGTATCTTTTATGACACATAGCCACGTTTTTGGTCTTTGTATCTAACTGAATGTCATTAACACTCTTGAAATAGCATGTTAATGGACAGAATGGGGGATTTGGTTAATAAGTGCACTTTGAGTTATAAATGGAAAGGACATGGTAATTCCAAGAGCGAGATTTGTTAAAGATAAAATCTTCTGCTCATCAGAGGGAGCTGCACTTTTCTGTCCTCCTGCTTGAATCATTGAACAAGAGATATGTCAGACTTTGAAAACGACAAAAGCATGAAGGTTTGACTCATTGGTCAACCTAATCACACGGTTAATTTGAAAAGCAGACACTTGGATCCTTTGAAATCTTACCTTCATTTACAGAATCAGTGTAATTACATTGTGAAGGATTGTACTGACACTCTTCGGGTCAAACAGGTGGGACTTTTTTACTCTGTCCATGTCTCATCTTTGTGCCTGTCTGATCCAACAAAAATCATAAACCTTCAAAAAAACTATCACAAATATGAAGTTGATTCTAAACAGAATATTTTTTCTGCATTTAAAGTCACAGAGGGCACAAAGTTGAGAAGAGTTTAATCTCCAACACTCAGAAGTGAGCATATCATATCAAAGTTTTGACTCCCTGTCGGGGACAAAGAGACTGAGCTCATTGTATGCTCCAGTTGCTGAGGCAGTCCACTGTGAAATTTCCTGTGCATACTCTGGAGCTACCACAGATAACAATTTCCTCAAAGAGAGAGCAAACTCCTGCCAGTGCGCAAGTAACTAGGCCTGTGTTATGACTCTTATTACTATTAGTATTTTGATATTTCACTGTTGCTAGCATAACAAGAAGACAATCTGTGCAGTTTAATTTTATATATTTGTGTTTGACAAGAAGAAAAGATAATCTAAAAAGATGGATTTGGGGCGTCATTTTGTAGAAACAAGGTCTAAAACGTTCCTAAATATGACCAGCAGAGCGATAAAGAGTTCAGAAGATACTTTTCGTTGTTGTCTTAAAAAAAAGGATTATATTCATAAACATTAGAGATATCAGCCAGCACAGTGGTGCAGCATCTTGTGCTGTGTTGAGGTTTAATTGCTCTTAATCAACAATAGAGGTCCAAGGCCCAGAGGTAAACACCACGTAGCCTTAGCAACGGATACCAGATTTAGAGTCTGTGAGAAATAAATGGATAAATAAAATAGCAACAATTTGACTCCTAAAGATTTTCATATACAGATAAGCCGCAGCTCGCCATTCATTTCAACTAAACATGTGACTTATCCCCAGAATACATCAGCATAATATAAATCTGTGAGTAAATGCTTCTAAAAAAATAGCATTTCAACTTCTTCTCTTTTCATGGGACAACACTTAACAAGTGACACTTTGCTACAATGTACAGTCGTCAGTTTTCTGAGAGACTGTAAGTGCTTGAAGAGAATTTCAGCTGATTAAATTCAAGTTGAAAACAGTTTACAGATGGTAGCAGTGGCTGCTCTGCTCCTCCTCCTCCTACACTTTATTGTTTGTTTATAAGGCTGGCTTTTAAGTAGGAACACTAACTGATGTTTTATGTATTTTCTTCTGTTGTTTTTCAGCTCCACGGCCTGCCGGGTAATTACAGTGACCTGGTGGTAACAGGGGATGATGAGGGAATATTTGGAGTTGACGCTCAGTTTCTGTACGCTCTCAAACCACTGGACAGAGAAAAACAACCCTCTTATTCTCTGCAGGTAGAGTACTAATCGGTGCCCCATCATGTAGTGACTGTAATCTCCTACAAATGTTTGTTCTAATGAGAAGTTTCCACAAACACATTTTGAGAATATCCCTGTTTGCAAACAAATGAGACGTTTTATATTGTAGCTTGTTCACTATAAGAGATTCATGTGTTTAAGCGGAACATATCAGTGGTTTTAGACGGTCTCCATTTTCTCATAAGAAGGTCATATGTATGGGGATGTATGTAAGTGCACTCACAGACTGTATGCATGTGTCCTGCAGGTGTCCTTCGGAAAATCAGTGCACCGGCAGAGCTTCACTGTCGAGGTATGTGTCATTGACAAGAACGACAACGTGCCTACTTTCATAGAGATGAGTATGAGAGGCAGTGTGCAGCTCGGGCTTCTCAAAGGTAAGAGGACCTTGAGTCTTAATGCCAAATTGTTTTCAGTCTCGTTCAAAATTGTTATTTTCTCCACATAGAATGAAAAAGATCTCCAATTTTGCACTAACCATGAGAACCAGCCTCATGTATTAACCCATAACCTGATTCTTAATGGAGCTGATACATACCAGATTCAGTTGCCTCATGAAAGAAACAAAGACCTTCATCGACTAAAATAAGGTCTTTAAGCACAAAGGTTTACAAATATCAAATTTATCCATTTTGAATTAATGTTTGTTATTTCCAGAACGGATGGATAAAAAAACCATGACAAGTCCAACATGAACATAAAAATCCTTTACAGCTGGTTTTGTGTCATTCAGTTTTAAAAAGAAAAATAAAATCTGACTTTATGATGAGTAACTAAAGCTAATCATATAAAATTATCATATTTTTCTGTGCTCTGTATTAATCTAAGACAAACTGTGTACGTTAGTCATCAACAGTTGTCTGGTCTTGTTTGAGCTTTTCTTCTTTTCTCTTACAAACCAAACTTTTCCTTCAACGCTTGTCCGTTTTTGAATTTCGCTTCAGGGATCAATAAAGTCCTGTATTGTTTTAAATGATGGGTAGTTGATAGGGCTGATAGAGTCAATCAACATCAATGGAAGATGAGGAATCAATCAACCGAAGACGAGGTTCCAATTTAAAGGATTTATTTACAAGCAGTCAAGTGATGTTTTCTGTATTAAACAAAAAAAAGGGAAAAATATAAAAATAATTTATTAACTGATTATCTTTAAACGACAAAGTGATGCTCATTAATATTAACTTGGTAATCAGAATCTGAACGCCTTTAACACAAAGTTGATTAAATGAAAAGATCTAAATTGTCTTCAAAACAGTCTATAAATTAAATTCATTATACAACACTCACTTTGACTCACTTGACAGCCAGAGTGAAACATGTCAGTAGCAGAGCAAACTGAGCAGCGGGCTCAGGAGTCCTTTATAGACTCCTGATCAGGCCACAGTGCCCACACCTGAGGTTGATTGCTGCAGCCTGAGCAGGTGGGCCTGCTGCTCCTCAGTGGAGTCAGAGCAGACATGTTGGATCCTAACACTTATCTTATTCTCTTTGATTTAGGACTCCAAATTGGTGCAGTCTTTGTTCCACCCCTCTCTGTGTAAACTCAGAAAGCTTTTGCACTTGGGTTTTTTTGATATGTCTGCCATCTAGAAGTGGACATGCTTGAGTCTGCTCTGTCTTGGTCCCCCAGGAATCCCCTTCATGCAGGTGGAAGCTCTGGACCGTGATGATCACAACACCGCCCATGCTGAGCTGCGCTTCACTCTCATGGAGCAGACTCCCAGGATCCCCTCTAGTCAAATGTTCTTCATCGACTCCATCAGTGGGGAGGTTTCCCTCACAGAGGAAGGTCAGTGCCCACTGGTCTCTACTGGGAAAGTTAAGATGATCCTTTGTTTCTTCCCAAGGGGGAGTTTGTTCAAAATACGGGGTCAGCTTTAGGACCTTGGATCCAAGAACAAACAGTCTGCATTTTCTTTTATACACAGTTATATGATTTCTAAGTCCTTTGCTACTTGTTTAAACAAATTCAGTATTTATAAAACTATTAGGTTTGGTATCATTTCCCATCAGTTTTGACAAACATTGCTACAATGACATATTGGAATCTTTTGGATAAATTGATACCAGCCAGCACTTCAAAATGCAGAAATACTCTACCCATGATTGTGGTGTGGTGGTGAAGTTTGATACAAACCGCTCACATAGTTTGTTTTCCTCAGATTTCTGAAGCGTTTATTATTCAAATTTGTGCCAGTGCTTTTCTAAAAGCAAAAGTAAATTGAAGGAATGCTTATCAAAAACATGTTTATTGATATGTTTATCCAAAATGAGGATTGTATCAGCATTTCTTTTCTTATCAGATGTCTAAAAATCTAAAAACACTGAGACACTATTATGGGAAACTGTCCCTAGAATCAAGTGAGGTTTACTTATTGAATTTGTTGTTAAAATAGAGTCAAAATTGTGGATTTATTGTTTGAAATAAAAAAAGGAACAAATAGTGTGTGAAGACTTGTCAGAAAAATAGTTCACAGTTCAGGCATATACAGTTCACGCACATACACCCAATGTCCTGGATGCTGGTTCTATTTCTGTAGCTCTAGTATCGCTCTTTGTTACGGCTCGGCAGGAACCCGATGACTTTCACACTCACCGGTCACCCTCCTGCCCACACTGCTGCTGCTGCTGCTGCTGCTGGTTTCCACAAAGCTTCATTGGAGCAGTGAAAATCGACATCTTCTTAGATTTTTGACTTTATTTTCAGACCCGTTCAAACAGACTGTTATGACTTTTCTCATGGATGGGGTTTTGTTTTTCTTTTCTTCTGTTTAAGGAAAAAAGAGCAGATAGGTAGATAAATTCTGCATTTATGTTGCTAAGGATGAATGAACACGAAGTATTTAGTCGTGGACAAATATCTTCTTTTACTTTTTTTATGTTTTTATGATCCAGCTTCTTATTGTAAGATGTTTGCATGTTTTTTTTCTGTCTTTTTATTTTATATATTCTCCGTTACATGATTTTTATTTAATCAGACATTATGCACATAGGCAGTATCATATAACTGCATACAGCCCAATATATACAATAGATGTTTATGCAATGAAGCTCAACTCTGAGGTAAAAGTAAAGGTAGCATTTGGAAATCAGGTTTTTCTTGTTTCATCTGTTTCTCTGTGATCTCCAGGAGCCTCTACTCTGGATCCAGAGATGTGCGGCCGTTACAAACTCTCAGTGATGGTGAAAGACATGGCAGGGAAGGCCAACGCTTTTTTCTCCACTGGCATTGTTACAGTTGAGGTGACGGGAAACACCTGGGCGTCACCTGACCCTGTGAGACTTCAGGAGAACCTCCCTGGCCCTTACCCCATCCCCATCTCACAGGTAAGGCAGCCAGCAACACTCCGACACCAGTCTGCCACTTTGGCATGCAGAGTATTTCTACACATCTGCTTTTAAAACCACTTCTGCTGATTAGATTTTCACCATTTATCACGCAAACAACTCGGGGTAAGTGCAGACTTTATGGTTAATGCAGTTCCAGCTGTCAGCTATCATATCACAATAAACCAAACTGTCAATAGCTTGGACGGTTTAAAGTAGCATCATGTTGCCAGTTGCTGTTTTTAGGGCCTCTTGGGTTGTTCTAAGTGACCAAATACTGAATTATTGATACTGTTCAAATGCCATGGATCCTTTCAGGCTGCCTCCCAACTGAGTCACTTAAACGTCTATAATCACCCACTCATCTTCCCACCAACCGCCAAAACCAGCACTGCTACAGGAAGCGTCATACAAACCACATGGTAACATAAAAAAAACACTCTATATGAGGCGTCAATTTTAAGTGTTTTATATTGCTGAGGATTATTTATTCTTATTAGAGCTAAAAGTCAGAAAAACAGCAAGGCTAAGTTAAAACTCATTCATTTGTATTTGTCTAATATACTTATAAACTGTATATAGTGTCTTCACATCACACCTGTTGTGTAACCTTGTCAGCTGCTTTTACAGTTGCGTTTATTAATCTAGCAACAAAAAGATTAAGTCTATATTATATTTAAAAAAGATGAACATTCTCTCATTCAAATTGTTCTTTTTGTTCTGTATCATGTTTATTATTGTCAAAAGGTTGATTTAGCTTTTTTTTAATTTGTCCAGCATTTCTCAACATTTTCTCACATATCATCAACATTTTGTTGAGTCTGTGAAAGGAGACAAAGGAGACGACAGACAAAGCGGTTAAAATCAGTCAGTTGGTTTGGATGAGGAGAAATAACCTGGTTGTTGGGAGCAAAGACAAATTGAGAAGAAAACCATTCATCTCCTTTCTCTCTTTTTTTTTCTTTCCCCTCTATCCTTCCTCTGATACCTCTCTACATACTTCTCTCTCTGTTTTTCTCTATGATGCAGAGTATGGGCTAGTATGTAGGAAGTGTTTCCAAGATGTCCAAACTAACTCTCAAGCCTTCCCCAGGTGTTGTTGGTGTAACTTATTAAAAACACAGATAAAGAGTTGATAACCCCAGTGATGTACTCAGTCCTATCTTTTCTTAAATTTTGAGATTGTGGGGGACGCCAGGGTCCATGTGGTGGGATATGAAACTTACTGGTAGATCTTCAGTGACTGCTTACTACTATATCCTGTTTATTTCAAAGTGATAAAATAATGATAAAAACGATTGTGACTTTTGAACTTTGGCCTGAGTTATGAAGCGGGTAAAACATTGATCATGTCGATTTTATTATTAAATTTTTGGTGCACGTTTAAATTCTAAAGCTTGATATCCAATATCCAATTCAAATTTATGATGCTATATCCCTCTCTGAAAGGTTGATAAGCACACAGAATCAGTCAATGCTAAATAATGGATAAATCACTAAAAGCACCTGAATACTGCGTATAGAGCAGTGGTTCATCTCCACGTCCTAAATTACTGAAGTATCATAGAGATGAAAGTTTCCCTCGGGTTTCAATAACAAACCCATGTGTGTGTCCTCTCTATTGTCTAACCTATAGGTTGGTATAATTTTAGCCATATCAGCTCCATGTCTATATTTAGCACTGAAGCCCTCAGAGGTTTCACAATGCTTGGAAAAAAAAACAGCTCACAGTGGCCGTTATCCTTTAGTGAAGAAGTTTTACAAATGCACACCTGTGAGAAATAAACTTTACTCATTTTCTTCTAACAACTACAGAAAAAAAGGAAAAGACTTGACAACTGGTTCCTTCAACACGTTGCACAGGTTGTTAGAGTCACCGCAGCCGATAGGTACATCACAGTACCTCCCCCTCCTCCTGATGTCTCCCACCTCCCCCTCACTCGCCCTCAGCCTCTCATCTCTCCTATTAACCGCCTCATCCACCCACTGAAAACGTGTGGACTCAAGTGTAGGCACATGGATTTTTTCTTTTGTTGTCATATTTCAATGGCCATTTTCAGTCTTTCTCCCAGCTTTAATGCTCAACCCTTAATTCACAGCCCTGCACCTATAAAGAAATAATTCTTATTTTGATACCTAATAGCATTCGTGCATATATATGCAAATCAGGTTATGTGAAAATATTTTGCCGTGCAGATTCCCTCAGTGTATCTGCTCCTATTTTTTAATAAAAAACGTGTGAAGAGAGTGAAAAATGACTCCCTCTGGACTTGAGAAGTTTAGCTATACTGTCTCGTTTGTTCTCACACACACACACACACACACACACACACAATATAAAAGATCAGGGTGGACTTGGACGTCTATTCGGGGGAAGCCTAATATCTCCCACGCTGAGTTGTTGTACTGCTGTGCTCAGTAGGTTGTGGGACTAACCGCTGCTATGACACATACAGAGATATTCATGTTCAGGAGCCCACTCTATAGATCCCACCTCCCCTACTGCTTCAGATAAATGGAGTAGTCATGTCCACATCCATTCATCTGTAACAAATGTTGTCTCCTTCTCATGCTGACGTTGTCCATTATGTGAAAACCAGTCAGCTTCCTGGTGCATTTCTGCCATCTGTCTTCTCTGTCTTACAAAACTCAGCTGAAAAACTTGAATTTGATTTGACCGTTCCTGCCGTATGATTCATAATAGGCTCTCGTTGTCATTTTAAAAATTAAACCCAAGCATTTTTATCAGACTGCTTGCATCATCAAGGCTGTGGAGGTTCATGTCAACCTGTATGTATATGTGTCGATTGTCTGCTTGAAACTTACATTGTGTAATGCAATCAGTAAAACTACCTTCACCCAATAATGCAATTTATAGAGACGAGTGAGAGAGATGCCCCTGAGCTTCTGAATGAATGAGTCAAGGCTGTAAGCCGCTCTGACTCTGATTCGTCATGCTCTTACACTCAAATAAAATGTTATTATTTGTTACAGGATTAGTTTTTGCCACACAAGACCTTCGTCATGGCTTGTAAATGGTTTTATAATGGTACTCGTATCAGAGTGATTCTCCCTGTTAGTCATTAGAGATGATCCAGTTTGAGTGTGATTAAGCTGCTGTGGTCAAAATTTGAGTGCCAGAACTTGATCACAGGCTGTGTGTCATTTGAGGAAGATACTCATCTAGAGATAGATCCACAGATAATAAAATGATCCCATAATATTCACAAGAGAAAGATAGACTTTGAAGTAGGAATCCCGTCATGCTGTGGACATACTATTTAGTGTGGAATATACAGGAAGAGCATTTAGAAAAAGTTGCATCTTGGAACACATGAGGGCACAGAAGAACCAAAAAAGATTAAAGATTAAAGCTCCTGTGAGGAGTTTTTGTTTGTTTGTTTTTGAAATAAACCAAAATTTATGTTATTGCCTTTTTATACTATACAAAACCAAACAGTATCATCTGAATTTTGAGGGTCAAATTTATCGTTTATTGATGATATATCATTTGGAAACTGTAAAAACAGGGCTGTTTCTTCAGTTGCTTGACTGATGCCTACACCCTTGCTGTTCCCTGTGATTTAAGTGTATTTTCACCAGTGTTTCTGTGCCCCAGTGTTCCTGTTCCTCTGCAGTCTTGTCTTGTGAGTTTTCCGTTTGTGTCTGACCCGGTTTCCCACATGTTCTCAGTGTTTTATTCTCTAATATCAGTTTTAGGTGTTTCCTGTTTTATTTTGGAGTAGTTTATCCCCCGTGTTTCTAGTCTTGCTTTACTACCTCAGATTTCCCTCCTTAGTAATTGTCTGCACCTGTGTCTCTGAATCTCACCTGCCTCTCGTTGCCCGTTTCCCTGTGTGTGCATATATAGTCCTTGTCTTCCCCTGTTTCTTGGTCGGTTCATTGTTGTATGTCGTTGCCTCTGCATGTATGCCCGTGTCTCCTTGTTAGGGCCCGAGCGTAGCTGCTAAGCAGCTGCGAGAGCCCTCTTGTTCCTGATGGATTCTTCTTTTGTTAGGGCCCGAGCGTAGCTGCTAAGCAGCTGCGAGAGCCCTATTATTCCTGATGGATTCTTCTTTCTTCTTCTTCTTCTTCTTATTATTTTTCTGCCCCTTTGAACTGGAAAATGGCCCACTTCCCACTGGTGAAAACTCATGAAATTTGGCAGGACGACCGGGCCTGGTGAAAAATTCGATATTCTGAAGTCACCCAAACAATCAAATGCAAAATGGCTCCATAGCGCCCCCTAAGGTGAAAAATTCACATGATTGAGTGTCACGCCTGTACGCTTTGTCAAAATGACACAAAATTTGACACACACGTGTATCTCAATAAGATCTACAAAAAAGTCAGTGCGGGCGTATCTGTCAAATGTACGTTTAAAGGGCTATTTCGCATTTTTTGCCGATCCGCACACATTGGAATTTCGCTAACTCCTCCGAAGGCTTTCGTTCCACCGGCACCAAATTTGCACAGGCCAATCTAACCCCCATGGCCATTCAAAGTTGTACAAATCATGACGCTGCACCCCACGGTTTACGTTGTAGGGGGCGCCAAAGATAACCCAAAAATCCACATTCTTACAAGTCTTATAACTTTTTATTTCTGTCCTCACTGGCCTCCAAGTTTTCTAGGATGATGCAATGTCCAGCCATCAACACATTTGTGAAGGAATTTTTACTCCCGAAAAGAGCGCCCCCCCCATGGCAGGAGAAAAAAGGCCATTTTTTCTTGTCCCATAAGGTGAAAATACACATTGTTGAGTGTCACGCCTGTACGCTTTGTCATATTGAAACAAAATTTGATAATCACGTGTATCTCAATAAGATCTACGAAAAAGTCAATGCGCACGTGTCTGCAAAATGTACGGTTAAAGGGCTATTTCGCATTTTTGGTTGATTTGCACACATTGGAATGTGGCTAACTCCTCCTGAAGCTTTCGTTCCACCGGCACCAAATTTGCTCAGGCCAATCTACACCCCATGGCCATTAAAAGTTGTACAAATCATGATGCTGCACCCCACGGTTTACGTTCTAGGGGTCGCCAAAGATAACCCAAAAATCCACATTCTTACAAGTCTTATAACTTTTTATTTCTGTCCTCACTGGCCTCCAAGTTTTCTAGGATGATGCAATGTCCAGCCATCAACACATTTGTGAAGGAATTTTTACTCCCGAAAAGAGCGCCCCCCCATGGCAGGAGAAAAAAGGCCATTTTTTCTTGTCCCATAAGGTGAAAATACACATTGTTGAGTGTCACGCCTGTACGCTTTGTCATATTGAAACAAAATTTGATAATCACGTGAATCTCAATAAGATCTACGAAAAAGTCAATGCGCACGTGTCTGCAAAATGTACGGTTAAAGGGCTATTTCGCATTTTTGGTTGATTCGCACACATTGGAATGTGGCTAACTCCTCCTAAAGCTTTCGTTCCACCGGCACCAAATTTGCCCAGGCCAATCTACACCCCATGGCCATTAAAAGTTGTACAAATCATGATGCTGCACCCCACGGTTTACGTTCTAGGGGTCGCCAAAGATAACCCAAAAATCCACATTCTTAAAAGTCTTATAACTTTTCATTTTTGTCCTCACTGGCTTCAAAGTTTTCTAGGATGATGCAATGTCTAGCCATCAACACATTTGTGAAGGAATTTTTTCTCCCTAAAAGAGTGCCCCCCCATGGCAGGAGAAAAAGTCAAGTTTTTCCTGCCCATCGCTCAATGGCTCAAACACATCGCTCTCTCGGAAAAAAACGAAAGGAGGAGCAACTTGCCATTTGGATATATCCTAGCTGTGTTTGTGCCCTCACTCATGGTCCAGACTTTTTTCAAATAGGACATGTAGTTTGTCTGCAGCGAGTGTTTTGGTAGAAACTGCGCCTCCCATTCATTATAATGGTAAATGACCACAGACAAGTGCGCACACCATCGTTGAACCTTGAGTGTGACGCGATCGGGAGGGAGAGGCGGTCGTGTTGGGGGCGGCGTGACACAGCTCGGGCCCGCCAGTGCCCCAACGGGGCCCTAGTTAGGGCCCGAGCGTAGCTGCTAAGCAGCTGCGAGAGCCCTATTATTCCTGATGGATTCTTCTTTCTTCTTCTTCTTCTTCTTATTATTTTTCTGCCCCTTTGAACTGGAAAATGGCCCACTTCCCACTGGTGAAAAGTCATGAAATTTGGCAGGACGACCGGGCCTGGTGAAAAATTCGATATTCTGAAGTCGCCCAAAAAATCAAATGCAAAATGGCTCCATAGCGCCCCCTAAGGTGAAAAATTCACATGATTGAGTGTCACGCCTGTACGCTTTGTCAAAATGACACAAAATTTGACACACACGTGTATCTCAATAAGATCTACAAAAAAGTCAGTGCGGGCGTATCTGTCAAATGTACGGTTAAAGGGCTATTTCGCATTTTTTGCCGATCCGCACACATTGGAATTTCGCTAACTCCTCCGAAGGCTTTCGTTCCAACGGCACCACATTTGCTCAGGCCAATCTACACCCCATGGCCATTAAAAGTTGTACAAATCATGACGCTGCATCCCACGGTTTACGTTCTAGGGGGCGCCAAAGATAACCCAGAAATCCACATTCTTAAAAGTCGTATAACTTTTTATTTTTGTCCTCACTGGCCTCCAAGTTTTCTAGGATGATGCAATGTCCAGCCATCAACACATTTGTGAAGGAATTTTTACTCCCCAAAAGAGCGCCCCCCCATGGCAGGAGAAAAAAGTCCATTTTTTCTTGTCTCCTAAGGCGAAAATTCACACTATTGACTGTCACGCCTTTACGCTTTGTCATATTGACACAAAAATTGACACACACATGTATCTCAATAAGATCTACAAAAAAGTCAGTGCGGGCGTATCTGTCAAATGTACGGTGAAAGGGCTATTTCGCATTTTTTGCCGATCCGCACACATTGGAATTTCGCTAACTCCTCCGAAGGCTTTCGTTCCAAAGGCACCACATTTGCTCAGGCCAATCTACACCCCATGGCCATTAAAAGTTGTACAAATCATGACGCTGCACCCCACGGTTTACGTTCTAGGGGGCGCCAAAGATAACCCAAAAATCCACAGTCTTAAAAGTCTTATAACTTTTTATTTTTGTCCTCACTGGCCTCCAAGTTCTCTAGGATGATGCAATGTCCAGCCATCAACACATTTGTGAAGGAATTTTTACTCGCCAAAAGAGCGCCCCCCCATGGCAGGAGAAAAAAGTCCATTTTTTCTTGTCTCCTAAGGCGAAAATACACATTGTTGACTGTCACGCCTTTACGCTTTGTCAAAATGACACAAAATTTGACACACACATGTATCTCAATAAGATCTACAAAAAAGTCAGTGCGGGCGTATCTGTCAAATGTACGGTTAAAGGGTTATTTCGCATTTTTTGCCGATCCGCACACATTGGAATTTCGCTAACTCCTCCTAAATCTTTTGTCCCATCGGCTTCAAATTTGCTCAGGTCAATCTACACCCCATGGCCATTCAAAATTGTACAAATCATGACGCTGCACCCCACAGTTTACGTTCTAGGGGGCGCCAAAGAGGACCCAAATATCCACATTTTTAAAAGTCTTATAACTTTTTATTTTTGTCCTCACTGGCCTCCAAGTTTTCTAGGATGATGCAATGTCCAGCCATCAACACATTTGTGAAGGAATTTTTCTCCCCAAAAGAGGGCCCCCCCATGGCAGGAGAAAAAGTCAAGTTTTTCCTGCCCATCGCTCAATGGCTCAAACGCATCGCTCTCTCTGCAAAACCGAAAGGAGGAGCAACTTGCCATTTGGATATATACTAGCTGTGTTTGTGCCCTCACTCATGGTCCAGACTTTTTTCAAATAGGACATGTAGTTTGTCTGCAGCGAGCGTTTTGGTAGAAACTGCGCCTCCCATTCATTATAATGGGAAATGACCACAGACAAGTGCGCACACCATCTTTGGACCTTGAGTGTGACGCGATCGGGAGGGGGAGGCGGTCGCGCTGGGGGCGGCGCGACGCGGCTCGGGCCCGACAGTGCCCCACCGGGGCCCTAGTTATTATTATTATTTTTTATTCCTCTGCTTTAAACTGGAAAATGGCCCACTTCCCACTGGCGAAAACTCATGAAATTTGGCAGGACGACCGGGCCTGGTGAAAAATTCGATATTCTGAAGTCGCCCAAACAATAAAATGCAAAATGGCTCCATAGCGCCCCCTAAGGTGGAAATTCACACTATTGACTGTCACGTCTGTACGTTTTGTCATATTGACACAAAAATTGACACACATATGTATCTCAATAAGATCTACAAAAAAGTCAGTGCGGGCGTATCTGTCAAATGTACGGTTAAAGGGTTATTTCGCATTTTTTGCCGATCCACACACATTGGAATTTCGCTAACTCCTCCGAAGGCTTTCGTTCCACCGGCACCACATTTGCTCAGGCCAATCTACACCCCATGGCCATTAAAAGTTGTACAAATCATGACGCTGCACCCCACGGTTTACGTTCTAGGGGGCGCCAAAGATAACCCAAAAATCCACAGTCTTAAAAGTCTTATAACTTTTTATTTTTGTCCTCACTGGCCTCCAAGTTCTCTAGGATGATGCAATGTCCAGCCATCAACACATTTGTGAAGGAATTTTTACTCGCCAAAAGAGCGCCCCCCCATGGCAGGAGAAAAAAGTCCATTTTTTCTTGTCTCCTAAGGCGAAAATTCACACTATTGACTGTCACGCCTTTACGCTTTGTCATATTGACACAAAAATTGACACACACATGTATCTCAATAAGATCTACAAAAAAGTCAGTGCGGGCGTATCTGTCAAATGTACGGTTAAAGGGCTATTTCGCATTTTTTGCCGATCCGCACACATTGGAATTTTGCTAACTCCTCCGAAGGCTTTCGTTCCAAAGGCACCACATTTGCTCAGGCCAATCTACACCCCATGGCCATTAAAAGTTGTACAAATCATGACGCTGCACTCCACGGTTTAGGTTCTAGGGGGCGCCAAAGATAACCCAAAAATCCACATTCTTAATAGTCTTATAACTTTTTATTTTTGTCCTCACTGGCCTCCAAGTTTTCTAGGATGATGCAATGTCCAGCCATCAACACATTTGTAAAGGAATTTTTACTCCCGAAAAGAGCGCCCCCCCATGGCAGGAGAAAAAAGTCCATTTTTTCTTGTCCCCTAAGGTGAAAAAACACATTGTTGACTGTCACGCCTATACGCTTTGTCAAAATGACACAAAATTTGACACACACGTGTATCTCAATAAGATCTACGAAAAAGTCAATGGGCACGTATCTGTAAAATGTACGGTTAAAGGGCTATTTCGCATTTTTTGCCGATTCGCACACATTGGAATGTGGCTAACTCCTCCTAAGGCTTTCTTCCCACCGACACCAAATTTGCTCAAGCCGATCTACATCCCATGGCCATTCAAAGTTGTAAAAATCATGCCGCTGCACCCCATGGTTTACGTTCTAGGGGGCGCCAAAGATGACCGAAATATCCACATTCTTAAAAGAATCCACATCCCCCCCCCCCCCAAGGCAGGAGAAAAAGTCCAGTTAACCCTGCCCATCGCTCAATGGCTCAATCGCATCACTCTCCTGGCAACACAGTAAGGAGGAGCAACTTGCCATTTGGATATATCCTAGCTGTGTTTGTGCCCTCACTCATGGTCCAGACTTTTTTCAAATAGGACATGTAGTTTGTCTGCAGCGACCGTTTTGGTAGAAACTGCGCCTCCCATTCATTATAATGGGAAATGACCACAGACAAGTGCGCACACCATCTTTGGACCTTGAGTGTGATGCGATCAGGAGGGGGAGGCGGTCGCGCTGGGGGCGGCGCGACGTGGCTCGGGCCCGACAGTGCCCCACCGGGGCCCTAGTTAGGGCCCGAGCGTAGCTGCTAAGCAGCTGCGAGAGCCCTCTTGTTCCTGTAGTTTCCTTCTTTTGTTATTATTATTATTAGGGCCCGAGCGTAGCTGCTAAGCAGCTGCGAGAGCCCTCTTGTTAGGGCCCGAGCGTAGCTGCTAAGCAGCTGCGAGAGCCCTCTTGTTCCTGCATGTTTCCTTCTTTTGTTATTATTATTATTTTTCCTCCCCTTTGAACTGGAAAATGGCCCACTTCCCACTGGCAAAAACTCATGAAATTTGGCAGGACGACCGGGCCTGGTGAAAAATTTGATATTCCGAAGTCGCCCAAACAAGAAAATGCTAAATGGCTCCATAGCGCCCCCTAAGGTGAAAATTCACACTATTGACTGTCACGCGTGTACGCTTTGTCAAAATGACACAAAAATTGACACACACATGTATCTCAATAAGATCTACAAAAAAGTCAGTGCGGGCGTATCTGTCAAATGTACGGTTAAAGGGTTATTTCGCATTATTTGCCGATCTGCACACATTGGAATTTCGCTAACTCCTCCGAAGGCTTTCGTTCCACCGGCACCACATTTGCTCAGGCCAATCTACACCCCATGGCCATTAAAAGTTATTCAAATCATGATGCTGCACCCCACGGTTTAGGTTCTAGGGGGCGCCAAAGATAACCCTAAGATCCACATATTTAAAAGTCTTATAACTTTTTATTTTTGCCCTCACTGGCCTCCAAGTTTTCTAGGATGATGCAATGTCCAGCCATCAACACATTTGTGAAGGAATTTTTACTCCCCAAAAGAGCGCCCCCCCATGGCAGGAGAAAAAAGTCCATTTTTTCTTGTCCCCTAAGGTGAAAATTCACACTATTGACTGTCACGCCTGTACGCTTTGTCAAAATGACACAAAAATTGACACACACATGTATCTCAATAAGATCTACAAAAAAGTCAGTGCGGGCGTATCTGTCAAATGTACGGTTAAAGGGTTATTTTGCATTTTTTGCCGATCCGCACACATTGGAATTTCGCTAACTCCTCCGAAGGCTTTCGTTCCACCGGCACCACATTTGCTCAGGCCAATCTACACCCCATGGCCATTAAAAGTTATTCAAATCATGACGCTGCACCCCACGGTTTAGGTTCTAGGGGGCGCCAAAGATAACCCTAAAATCCACATTTTTAAAAGTCTTATAACTTTTTATTTTTGCCCTCACTGGCCTCCAAGTTTTCTAGGATGATGCAATGTCCAGCCATCAACACATTTGTGAAGGAATTTTTACTCCCCAAAAGAGCGCCCCCCCATGGCAGGAGAAAAAAGTCCATTTTTTCTTGTCCCCTAAGGTGAAAATACACATTGTTGAGTGTCACGCCTGTACGCTTTGTCAAAATGACACAAAAATTGACACACATATGTATCTCAATAAGATCTACAAAAAAGTCAATGCGCGCGTATCTGTCAAATGTACAGTTAAAGGGCTATTTTGCATTTTTTGCGCAATTCGCACACATTGGAATGTGGCTAACTCCTCCTAAGGCTTTCGTCCCACTGACACCAAATTTGCTCAGGCCAATCTACACCCCATGGCCATTCAAAGTTGTAAAAATCATGACGCTGCACCCCACGGTTTACGTTCTAGGGGGCGCCAAAGATGACCCAAAAATCCACATTCTTAAAGGAATCCACATCCCCCCCCCCCCAAGGCAGGAGAAAAAGTCAAGTTAACCCTGCCCATCGCTCAATGGCTCAATCGCATCGCTCTCCAGGCAACACTGTAAGGAGGAGCAACCTGCCATTTCGATATATCATAGCTGTGTTTATGCCCTCACTCATGGTCCAGACTTTTTTCAAATAGGACATGAAGTTTGTCTGCAGCGAGTGTTTTGGTAGAAACTGCGCCTCCCATTCATTATAATGGGAAATGACCACAGACAAGTGCGCACACCATCTTTGGACCTTGAGTGTGACGCGATCGGGAGGGGGAGGCGGTCGCGCTGGGGGCGGCGCGACGCGGCTCGGGCCCGACAGTGCCCCACCGGGGCCCTAGTTCCTGCATGTTTCCTTCTTTTGTTATTATTATTATTATTTTTCCTCCCCTTTGAACTGGAAAATGGCCCACTTCCCACTGGCGAAAACTCATGAAATTTGGCAGGACGACCGGGCCTGGTAAAAAATTTGATATTCCGAAGTCGCCCAAACAATAAAATGCAAAATGGCTCCATAGCGCCCCCTAAGGTGAAAATTCACACTATTGACTGTCACGCCTGTACGCTTTGTCAAAATGACACAAAAATTGACACACACATGTATCTCAATAAGATCTACAAAAAAGTCAGTGCGGGCGTATCTGTCAAATGTACGGTTAAAGGGTTATTTCGCATTTTTTGCCGATCCGCACACATTGCAATTTCACTAACTCCTCCGAAGGCTTTCGTTCCACCGGCACCACATTTGCTCAGGCCAATCTACACCCCATGGCCATTAAAAGTTATTCAAATCATGACGCTGCACCCCACGGTTTAGGTTCTAGGGGGCGCCAAAGATAACCGTAAAATCCACATATTTAAAAGTCTTATAACTTTTTATTTTTGTCCCCACTGGCCTCCAAGTTTTCTAGGATGATGCAATGTCCAGCCATCAACACATTTGTGAAGGAATTTTTACTCGCCAAAAGAGCGCCCCCCCATGGCAGGAGAAAAAAGTCCATTTTTTCTTGTCCACTAAGGTGAAAATACACATTGTTGAGTGCTACGCCTGTATGTTTTGTCGTATTGACACAAAATTTTACATACACGTGTATTTCAATAAGATCTTCGAAAAAGTCAATGGCCACGTATCTGTAAAATGTACGGTTAAAGGGTTATTTCGCATTTTTTGCAGATTCGCACACATTGGAATTTCGCTAAATCCTCCGAAGGCTTTCGTTCCACCGGCACCACATTTGCTCAGGCCAATCTACACCCCATGGCCATTAAAAGTTATTCAAATCATGACGCTGCACCCCACGGTTTAGGTTCTAGGGGGCGCCAAAGATAACCCTAAAATCCACATATTTCAAAGTCTTATAACTTTTTATTTTTGTCCTCACTGGCCTCCATGTTTTCTAGGATGATGCAATGTCCAGCCATTAACACATTTGTGAAGGAGTTTTTTCTCGTTAAAAGAGCACCCCCCCATGGCAGGAGAATAAAGTCAAGTTTTTCCTGTTCATCATTCAATGGCTCAAACGCACTGCTCTCTCGGCAAAAGCGAAAGGAGGAGCAACTTGCCATTTGGATATATCTTAGCTGTGTTTGTGCCCTCACTCATGGTCCAGACTTTTTTCAAATAGGACATGGAGTTTTTCTGCAGCGAGCGTTTTGGTAGAAACTGCGCCTCCCGTTCATTATAATGGTAAATGACCACAAACAAGTGCGCACACCATCTTTGGACCTTGAGTGTGACGCGATCGGGTGGGGGAGGCGGTCGCGCTGGGGGCGGCGTGACACGGCTCGGGCCCGCCAGTGCCCCAACGGGGCCCTAGTTATTATTATTATTATTTTTCCTCCGCTTTAAACTGGAAAATGGCCCACTTCCCACTGGCGAAAACTCATGAAATTTGGCAGGACGACCGGGCCTGGTGAAAAATTCGATATTCTGAAGTCGCCCAAACAATAAAATGCAAAATGGCTCCATAGCGCCCCCTAAGGTGGAAATTCACACTATTGACTGTCACGTCTGTACGTTTTGTCATATTGACACAAAAATTGACACACATATGTATCTCAATAAGATCTACAAAAAAGTCAGTGCGGGCGTATCTGTCAAATGTACGGTTAAAGGGTTATTTCGCATTTTTTGCCGATCCGCACACATTGGAATTTCGCTAACTCCTCCGAAGGCTTTCGTTCCACCGGCACCACATTTGCTCAGGCCAGTCTACACCCCATGGCGATTCAAAGTTGTACAAATCATGACGCTGCACCCCACGGTTTAGGTTCTAGGGGGCGCCAAAGATAACCCAAAAATCAACATTCTTAAAAGTCTTATAACTTTTTATTTTTGTCCTCACTGCCCTCCAAGTTTTCTAGGATGATGCAATGTCCAGCCATCAACACATTTGTGAAGGAATTTTTACTCCCCAAAAGAGCGTCCCCCCATGGCAGGAGAAAAAAGTCCATTTTTTCTTGTCCCCTTACATGAAAATACACATTGTTGAGTGTCACGCCTGAACGCTTTGTCATATTGACACAAAAATTGACAATCATGTGTATCTCAATTAGATCTACGAAAAAGTCAAAGAGCGCGTATCTGTATAATGTACGGTTAAAGGGCTATTTCGCATTTTTTGCCGATTCGCACACATTGGAATGTGGCTATCTCCTCCTAAGGCTTTCGTCCCACTGATACCAAATTTGCTCAGGGCAATCAACACCCCATGGCCATACAAAGTTGTAAAAATCATGACGCTGCACCCCACGGTTTACGTTCTAGGGGGCGCCAAAGATGACCCAAAAATCCACATTCTTAAAAGTCATTTTGGCCACTGCAGGAGTACAGAGTACTGCAGTTCTAGGGGGCGCCAAAGATGACCCAAAAATCCACATTCTTAAAAGTCATTTTGGCCACTGCAGGAGTACAGAGTACTGCAGTTCTAGGGGGCGCCAAAGATGACCCAAAAATCCACATTCTTAAAAGTCTTTTTGGCCACTGCAGGAGTACAGAGTACTGCAGGATACACACACATATACACACACGCCAACATACACACACACACACACACACACACACAGACACACACACACACTCAGAGTCTTTTTTTTAGCACCTGCAAAAACATGCTGTTTACATATTTGACAAGAATGCAGAGGCTTCCTTTTGCCCCTGAAAAAAATCAAATTTCAAACACAACTTGACTGTTCATTTCTCCAAAAGACAACCATGAAGCTCCATTTCAAACCTGAAGCAGATAGTTGGTGCATGTGTACAGTAACCTGAGGGGAGTGAGGTGACTATTTCTGAGGAGAACATGAGCAGTGAAGATTCACCTTGGAGCTAGAACAGGGACGTGCACATGATTATACAGGGGCAGGGGCTCAAGTTTTTTCCAGTCATTTATACAATATGGAAATTAATGTGAAATTAAACCACAAATATGTGTGATGAACTGTTTTTAAAACTTAAACTTCAAATAAAAATTGTAAACTTCAAAACATATGCAAATTTTTAACAAAGAACATAGTAATTTACCTCTATTTACATCAAAATGCAGGCAATGGCCCAGGCGTTCTTTGTAAAATTATTTACAAAACACTGTATAGTCTCACAAATGTCACTTTTTATTTATGCCACTACAAAAAAACATGATGTAAATGATGCATGATGTAAAACATGATGTAAAAAACTTGTGTAGATCCTCCTCTATGTCAGTCCATGTGTAATTTTTCCATAATTCTTTGTTTTTTGCAGCATTTTTGTTAGTGTAACTGCAGATTGTGCTGACAGTGTCTATGGCAAAAAAAAAAAAAAAAATTAAAATGCCTCAACATGAACCCCTGGTGGTCTCTGAGGGTGAAACCTGCTAACTGCTGCAGCTCTGTCAGCTTCAGTCTCCCATGCAGAGCTCTGAGCGCATGTGTGGCTCTGCACCCTTAGCAGCGTTGCTAACTCCTCAGTAAGGAAAGCCTGCTTCATGTCAGAGTCTCTAAACTCCAGAAGAAGTCGATAAAAGTCCCTTTCTTTCTAAAAAAAAAGTCGTTAGGGGGTCTGAAAAGTCATTGAATCTAACAACAAAGTCGCTAGGTTTGCAACTACGTGTCCCAGACTGCATCCCTGCTGAGAGTCCCTCCCTCCCTTCTCATGTTGCAGGAAGAACGTAAGCGCCCGCCCCTTGTCAATCAGTCACCATATAATTTTGGATTGGTTGTTGTGGTGAAGTTTTCCACCAATAGGAGAGATGTTGTGGTGTGTTTTTTTTTTCTTTTGGCAAGCCTTTTCCGCCTGTAAGACCTGTCGCTAATGTCTGCATGCTATGTTTTCCTGTCTCATACAGCGCGATCGAGCGCCGAACGTGATCAAAATAAGCAGAAAAAAAGTATCGCGGACTTAATTTATCATAACTCTGGTTTTATTTGGCCTATCAACACAATTTAAAAACTGGTATATAGGTTGAGGTCCTCACTTTTGAGATAAGTTGAAACGGAGAGTCAACGAGGCTCCGTCTTGCAGCTACATCCGGTTAAATATGTCATGTGACTTGAACGCACACACAGACACACACACACGCACACACACACACACACACACACACACACACTCAGAGTCTGGTTTTTAGCACCTGCAAAAACATGCTATTTACATATTTGACAAGAATGCAGAGGCTCCTTTTGCCCCTGAAAAAAATCAAATTTCAAACACAACTTGACTGGTCATTTCTCCAAAAGACAACCATGAAGCTCCATCCAAACCTGAAGCAGGCAGTTGGTGCATGTGTACAGTAACCTGAGGGGAGTGAGGTGAGTGCTTCTGAGGAGAACATGAGCAGTGAAGATTCACCTTGGAGCTAGAACAGAGACATGCACATGATTATACAGGGGCAGGGGCTCAAGTTTTTTCCAGTCGTTTATACAATATGGAAATTAATGTGAAATTAAAACACAAAGTATTGATAGAAAGGTAATGACTGTCCTGTGTAGGTGACAGTGATATCCAATAGGCTAGGCACTCACGAGGCTGGCTGTGGCAAGTGTAAGTGAAAGCAACACGCACTGGCAGGAAGAACAGCAAACGCCGATGAAGGAAAAGGGTCTTTGCAGTGATGGGCGTTACCAGAGAGGGCGATGGCCAGAGGACACAAATGGGACGGGGAGGCAGCACGTTGGGGGGGGGGGGGGGGCGACACGGCTCGGGCCCGCCAGTGCCCCAACGGGGTCCTAGTGATTTTTGTTTCTTTTGGATTTTGCCTCTTGTGTTTTTTGCCTTTGGGAGTTTTTTCTGTTGGACATTATAAGTAAGTTTTTATTTTTTATTTATTTATTTATCTTTTTAATAAATCCTCATTTTGATTCTGCACTTGGGTCCTTTCCCATTTTGTTTGACTCACAAACAGTCAAAACAGTTTCAGATATTAAAGGTTGCGATATAAAAATGGTCAATTTTGTCGCTTTACTTTTCGATACCATGTGATGGTGTCAGTGTGAATTACAGTCTATCTCAAAAAACTTTATACAGGAGTTTTAACACCTGTCAAACTTTCAAACACTTAAAAAGAAGTTATGGTTTAAAGTTTGGCAACATGTTTTAACGCCAGTGATTTGAGGTTGGAAAAGGAGTCTACAAAGCACTGTATGCCACCTTCCTAACACTAAAGATGGATTTAGCTTTGAGCTGAGTAAGAACAGAGAAAGATTTTGTAAATGTAGAGCCAGATAGCTCTTAAGTTTATGGAGACCATGGAGGATATATTTCTCAAGAACTGGAGAGCAATGCAACCAAAGATGCTAATGTTGTTTTGTTTTGTTTCCAGGACTGGAAAACAAGTGACTATTTGTAGATTAAAAAAATAATAATAATTTTAACTTTGTTTGTTGGTGTTGGTCTTCGTATTGTTTACACTGCCCCAAGTGGTCAAGTCAATTTGCTACTGCAGGTTCAATGTTTAAAATATGAAATGAGACAGCTCCCCCTTTGTGTCTCTCATTTCGGTTGTCTTCATTCTCTTTTTCCAAGACTTTACTGGTAGTAATATTACCCCCATAAAAATTTTTACTTTGCGTTATCAGATTTGATAAGGGTAATTTGCAGAGTTTCATCTAACCATCAGCTATTCAGCATTTTTACCTGAAAGTGGAATGAAAAACTAAATCTAGTGACAGACCTATCTTTAAATATCAGCTCTGATATGCAATTTTCTTGCACTTTAGTGACTGTTTAGTCTCAGGGACACGAGGCGCTCTTTACGTCGGTCATCACAAGCGATCTGTGGAGACAGAACGTGCTCTGCTAACTCGAGGACTGACAGAGGCAAAACACATGACCTCATAGATGTTTTTAGTGGACCGTCGTCGCTGCCAGTGAACATTAATCAGTTTCTCAAATATATCTCTTAAAAGTTCTAATGTCTGGGGGCTCACTATAACAGTGAGAGGCAGCCAGCTGTGTGAAACCGCCTTGTGTATACAAAAGCATAGTGTTTAGGCAGCCATCTCCAAAACAAGGGAGGAGTGTGTGACAGTGAGTTGAGGAGATACACATGCCCTGGGTGAACATTAGCTGTTCTGCGGCAGGGCCCCTCTCCTTGTTGGGTGCTGTCTGATGACTACTACAGGCCTTTCAGCCCTGCTGCACAACCCTCTGTCAAGGGCTGTAAAGCAGAGTGGAAAATCCCCTACAGCCTGCAGTTACTTTTGGCTGTGCGCTCTGTCCCACATCAATGTCAGTGTATTCGCTTGGCTCCTTATCCTGTAAATAAATGGAAACTTCGCTTTGTACTTAATCACCGCGCAGGCCCAGCTGAACGTCATCAAAGTTTATGTTGCATGATAAGTTTATGTGAAAGAATATAGAAGCATCAAAATGTATATATACCCTATTTATACCACTGAAAACCTTTTGCTGTTTGTGTGTTGTTGTTGTTGTAGGTCAAATGGAGTGGAAGTCAGGCAGAGTACAGTCTGGAGGGGGAGTTTCCAGAGATGCTCTTCACAATCAGCAGAGAGGGGGTCATTTATCTCAACGCGCCTTTGGACAGAGAGACACAAGACCAGGTCTGTATAAATGCAGGCTAGAACGGCTCCAGCAGCTTAAAGTGCATATCGGTTTATGGTGACTCTAATAAGCATCTGGACAATATAGGGTGCTGAGATGTTCCCCAATGAAAGCCTGTTTTTCTTGGCCTGGACACTTTATGTATTGTTTTTAAGTTTAAAAATAGTATTTTTTTTCTTCCTTTTTTGCATTAAGAGAAAAAAGACGGAAATGTCACACTCTACTTTTCTAATCATATCTTATCATTAAGAGCCAGAAGCTATTTTCATGTTGTTCATCAAAAGAAATGCTGTACTTCATCTTTTTTTGAACATGGACTTGAACAAGTTGCTTTCATTAAAGCGATCTTGTACAAATTATTGCACCCAAGCTGAACATCAAGTACTATTGACTTTAAAACAGCTGCAATTAGGGAAACAACTCAAAACATGAAAAGCACACTGACAGCATCGCCCGTGGGAAAATGCAGTAATGAAAGGATGTGGAGGACCGTGAACCGGAAAAAATATTTTTACTTTTACGAGGAGCTTTTTCTACAATCCTAACACAAAATTTCAAGTGGTTGACACACAACACAAAAAGACTGAGCTACATCAGTTTAATGGGATTACACATACCTTTTGAATTTTGCTGTTTATCTTTCCTGTAGTCACTTGCAGTCACTGTAGGTAACAGGATACAAAACAGGACTTTATTTCCTTCTTACTGGTCACTTGAGGACATTGAAATGTACTTGTGTTTTTAATAAGTACACATTAATACACATACTTAACACAGCAGTCATTACCTTTCAAAAATGAAATATTTACACCTTCATTTGATCAGTTGTAGATGCACTCATACTCCTGAAATGACTGATAATCTGTTGACCTGCAGAAGATCAGCTGTTTGTTTACTGTCTGAATCCTGCACCATCACTCTGTCATGACTGCTGGTGCTGATGATGCTTTTTCAAGTCGAGAGTTTGCAGAATGATGATGAACGCGGGGATGTTTCACTTCCATCTGTCCACTTTGTTTACCAACCTATCCCAACAGCAGAGCCATAAACCATGATGCACTGAATATGAAAAACACCCTGCAGATCACATCTTCACTGCTATAAAATAACATAGAGGTTCTAATAGTGACAGAGCTGCTTGACCAGATTATGTTAAACTGGTCTTTTGAATTGACTCTGGTTGCTTTTTGTCTTTGTGTTGTTAGTTCCAGATCAGCATCGTGGTCGAGCGTCCAGATGGCAGAGAAATTGCAAAGCCTGTGGAGTTAAGGGTGATGGTGGGCGACGCCAATGATAACAGACCCACTTTTCCACAGGCGCAGTATCACACTGTGGTGAAGGAGCTGGCTGCTCGAGGTAAACAACATAGATTATTAGCTTTTCCCGCATATATTAACCGTCTCAGTAACATTTATTTAACTTGACACCTCTTATGTATTATTTTTTTGTTAAAATGCAAAATTGTCCCCCTCATACCCATCTCATTCTATCAACAAACAAAAAGTCTCTATTTTAGATCATGTTCGATAAATCTGAAGAAGACTTATCTTCTTTGGAAATTCCTCCTGAAGTAACTTTAAAACCTAAAACAACAGCTCTGAACGCACCGCAGTTTTAATGTGAATATTATCTCACAAAAGCAGGGGAACGGGGGCTTTGGAGGACGGTGCAGTGATGAATGGGCTGAAAGCAGCAGATACCTCCTGTGAAAGCAAACTGGGATTTTTGCCAGGATTCTGTGGAAAAGCACCCTCACATCTACCTGTGCTCCTAAAAAAAAAAGCACATTGAGTGTTTTGACAGTGCGGACACAAAAGCTTTATTTTTTCTCTGATGCTTTAAAAGGGCTGATTCTGGGAAATGAATTAGACTGAACAATCTGTTAATCTAAATGGGATGACTGGATGCGGATTAAATGAGAGAGCTATTGTTATATCCTTCCTCTCCATCATTTACCGTGCTTTGTGATTGTAGCTTGTTAAAGAGAAATAGAGTTTTCAAGGCTCTTCTCTGTACTATTTTTATTCAAAAACATAATGAGCTGTTAAGTAATCACTGAAAACCAAAACTATAGATAAAAGTTTTGCAGTAACCAAATACCTTAATGCTCTTTGTTTTTTTTGCTGCATCTCTCTCCAGGGACAGAAATCCTGACAGTCCAGGCGGCTGATAACGATGATCCAAAAACAGACAATGTCCGGATCTTCTACCGTCTAGTGGGACAGATTCCCGAGAGTCCTCGTGCCCTCTTCAGAGTGGACCGTGACTCAGGGGTGATCTCAGTCCAAGCTGACAGCATGGAGGGCACAGCACCTCAGTACACACTCACCATCACTGCTGAAGATGCTAAAGGTGACTTCCACTTGATTCAAATCGTAGCCTCCTTCATGTTTTTAGCTCTTTAAAGGGATATTCCGGCGTAAATTTAAGTTATGGTCAAACACATTGTAACACAGAGTTAGACACCCCCTCAAAGAGATGAATGTTGCCGACTGCTTGCTTCTCTAGCTATACCAATTTTAGTAACAACCGCACGATAGCAATACACAGTGGTGTATATCTCTACACGCAAATCTCAACCAAAACGCCACTCGTAGCCACAAATAATGTTCAGAACAGCACCTAACTTCATCAACAGAACATACAGGGTCCCAGCCAGAATACTAGCCACCAAACATCTTTTTAGCTTTGCCTGATTTCTTTAGCAAAGAGACCAACACAACTCACCCACTCTCCTCCAGCAGCCACTTGTTTATGGGGGAGCCCTGACGAGTCGATCACCGAGTGCAGCGGAGTTTCGCAGCTTGAGGAAGAACATTTATGATCATTTATTCATGGACATGCAATCAGAGTTCTTGTGTATCTTGTATGTGCACTGCAGACGTGGTAGTTCCTCTGCTTTAGCGTCACGTTCCATGAGAAATTTCATGATTATCTCCGTGAAGAAATCATCATGAAATTTCCGCTGCACTCTGTCGGCACACAAGAGGACATGAACATGAGTCTCAGACACTGAAAATCCTTACTTCTGCACACCACAAATGTAACAGACTCCATCAACTTGTTTAGATTTTTATATGTCCAATCAAACACGTGATCAAATTAGCCATTGATTCTCTCATTGTGGATATTGTGGAGGATATCACTAGATACATCCTGGAATCGCCTCAGTGCCACTTATCCATGGGTTTAAGGATGTTTATTTACACAAGCTTCAAAATTCAAACACCAAATTATCTGTCCTGCTTTGTCTGGCACAGCTTTGTCAAATTTGGACGCCTTCTGTTGGCAGATAGAGTCGCTGATGTTCTCCTGGCTCTGTTTTGTGGCTAAGTCACAAATAATAATAATGACAATCCAAATTGATGAATAACAGGTTGTCCAGTTTGAAATAAGTATACTTTGAAGATAGATAGACTCAGCTGGTATGACAAAGCCTCCAAAGCTTTTCCTATAATCCATTAAATTAACATCAGAATAAAAACGTAGTAACAAAATAACAGAACAGTAAAAAAGTGATAAAAGTGACTTACAGGGAAGTTAAAAAGTACAGCTGTATTAATGTCTGTGGGCTTGCATGTCAGCATCTTTGCTAACACCCAAGTATGAAGGATTGTATCTATGCTAGCCTCAGAGGTGACAGATGATGTTTTTTTGGTGTGACTCATGGTTCAGGGTGTGATGGAGGAAAGATGAGGCACTTCTCGTTCCTCTTGTATTATTTATCTGTGTGACAGTCTGACCCTGAGTCACTAACAGAAGCTGTGACGGGGTCTCTGGCAGGTCTAAACAGTTCTTGCACTGTGGTCGTGACCGTGCAGGATGAGAACAACAACCCGCCGGTCTTCTCCCAACATGAGGTAAGATGAATTAATGACGCACCGGTCTTCTCAGGACACATCAAATAACAGGTTTGTAAAAATAAGAGAAAAAAAAAAGCAGAGGCCATCATTAGAGGCTTTTTGACTGCAGACTGTCAATCCACTCTGCAGGTTGCTGATCTAATTTTCCTGGCAGGGAACTAGATACACCCTTTAATCTCAGGCTTATGATGGCACCGGGTTACTGGAGGAGTTTTATTCAGGTCTTTGTACTCTAAGTGCCCCTGTGTTTTTAAAGTATAATCTGATAAAGCTTTCTCTTAGAGAGTACTTTCCACTTGTTTATTTATAAACTAACTTACAGCACGAATACGACGTTACTCAATACCATGAGCATGTCAGAGATGATGTAAGAATGAGCGATTCAGTCTCAGCGTAAAACGTATGCATGTAAGTACTTATAGTAATTCCACAGTGAAAATATTTAATGTATTGGGCAAACACTGCTTTAAATGAGGCTGTAAAAAGTCTATAGTGTTACCATGAACACCAGCTGTTGTCAGCAGTTATAGGGTCATAGTGGTCATGCTCACCCTGGGCAAAAAGTCTGTTCGAACCATTTGTTGACCCAAGATGGACAATGTCTTGGGCGAGTTTTTTTGTGCAAAAGGTCTTTGAACAAATCTGAGATGACATTTTATGGACAGAGTTTAACAAAAATCAGTCCGTCCATTAATCTGAGAATACAAACTGTATAAATAACAAGGAAACAGAAACCAGCAAACAGCCAAAGAAGTTCTGTAATCTCCTGATAATGACATTAAGAAGTTTCTTCACTAAATTTCAGCACTCTTTCCTATTTCAAAACCGCTTTAGATGTCTACATTTTGATTAAGCAGACCTCATAATTTACCTCTGTGACACAGAAAAAAATTCAATCAGATACCAATCTCTGCTCCACCCAGGGGTGTGTTTATCCTCCATCTCTGTTTCTCATCATTTCATGTTGTCTCACTAGTTTGATTTTATTTTCTAAAGAAACTATGTGCACCAACGTAATTTTGTAAAGGTTGGCAGTTCCTTTAAATTACATTTTTTTTTCTGTTGCAACCACTAATATTTCATTTCCATACTTGCAATAATAAAACATCTTTGGGAGCTACTGGTTCCTCTGTGATCTATTTTTATCTAGCAGTTGAGGAATGCTGCCGTTGCAGGCAAGGATGAAATGGGGCAGTGGTTTCCCTGCCAGTATTACAGAAAAATAGTCTAAAGATAGGCAGCCACAGAAAATCCCCTCACTTTTCACCCACATGTGCTGCATAAGAAAGCTGGGAGTTATGTGGGAGGGCAATCACGCTGTGATAATGGGGAGCTGGTCTCTGGTTGTTCTCTCTGTCAGACTGCAGTGACACTGTAAGACTGTTTGAACATTGTGAGCTGTGAAGGAATTTTATTTTGGGCACAGAGGGTACCATCCTTTTGAATTAGATAGAAACTGACCTGCAGAGCTTTTTGAACGGCTATCCAGACCAAAAACTGGATCACAAATTCCAGTGAAAGTAAAAGTAAACTGTATTTTTTCATCAATCATCTGTTAACATTGCTGCTCATTTCCAAGCTGTTACAAACAAATGCTCTGATTATCACACCACAGTACCCCCCTCCTTCCCCATCCAACACACACACAAATAGAGAGGTGGAAAATGCTCTTGAGCAGGTCACGCCTCAGAAGTGCAGCTTTTTCCATGGCAATGTGAAAGCAGCACTACAGGGGGTTGAAGTGGGAGGCGAGTGGTGACAGGGTCGGGTTCAGCGACCCTGTGGATGGGGCAGCCAGATCAGAGGCATGGCTGCTCCACTAGAGGACATGTGAGAGTGGGAGATTAAACGGCTGTCTAAACACACAGAGGTGTGTGAATAAATCTCTGCAAACACGGGCAAAGCAAGAGGGGTCAAACATATACTCAAATGTTGTCACATACTGTCTCAACAGCACAGGCAGTCAAATGTGACTTTAACAGATATGACTGTTTTGATTAGAAACTCTGCAAGGTGATTTATTGTTTTTCTTCTGTAAGGAGGTGGTTCTGTCACGTAACGTGAATTTAAACCTAGAAATAGCTTTATTCTAAACATTATAGCGTGCTCATGCAGAGTAGACAAATACTTTGTATTTTTTTACTTTCTATTTCCTTCCCGCCAGTATGGTCCTTTTCACATCCCGGAGAACGCTCCAGTTGGCACCACGGTAACAGCTGTGCTGGCGGGAGATGCAGATGTTCGTGGAGGAGACAGCTGGCAGGTGGACTACCGTTTGGAATCTGGTAATGAGGAGGACGTCTTCACATTAGTCACTGACAAGCAGACCAATGAAGTCTCACTCGTCCTTTCAAAGGTAAATAATCTCCTTGTGAACATTCAGCTACCTCATTACCGGCATTCATAGGGTGGCCATTTTCCTTTGACACCAGGCTTTAATAAGGGGGTGACAAACTCAAATGGTACTTTACCCACTCGGTGTAAATAACTTCATCCATCCTCCAAAGGTAGTTCATTAGGAGCTGCTTATACAAAACCCAATTCCACTGAAGTTGGGAAATTGTGATAAAAACGGAATACAATGATTTGCAAATCCTTTTCAACCTATATTCAATTGAATACACTACAAAGACAAGATTTTTAATGTTCAAACTCATAAACTTTATTTTTATTTTTTTGCAAATAATAATTAACTCTTTTTTGAATTTCATGGCTGCAACACGTGCCAAAGTAGTTAGGACAGGGACATGTTTACCTCTGTGTTACATCACCTTTCCTTTTGACAACACTCAATAAACGTTTGGGAACTGAGGAGACTAACTGTTGAAGCTTTGAAGGTGGAATTCTTTCCCATTCTTGCTTGATGTACAGCTTCAGTTGTTCAACAGTCCGGGGTCTCCGTTGTTGTTTTTTACGCTTCATAATGCACCACACATTTTCAATAGGAGACAGGTCTGGTCTGCAGGCAAATACCCGCACTCTTTACTATGAAGCCATGCTGTTGTAACACGTGCAGAATGTGGCTTGGCATTGTCTCGCTGAAATAAGCAGGAAGGGCGTCCATGAAAAAAACGTTACTTGGATGGCAGCATATGTTGCTCCAAAACCTGCATGTACCTCTCAGCATTAATGTTGCCTTCACAGATGTGTAAGTTATCCATGTCTTGGGCACTAATGCACCCCCATACCACCACAGATGCTGGCTTTTGAACTTTGCACCAACAGTCCGGATGGTTCTTTTCCTCTTCGGCCTGGAGGAACTTCCCAACTTCATTGGAATTCGATTTTGTACATGAACATAAATAAAACACATATATGTGATGTTTAGACAAGCACTCATACATAAGGGTCAAATACATAATAAATACAGGTGTTAAACCGACTGATAGACAGAATATGTTTTCAAGTTAGACAAACATGGATAATCTGACATAATCACTCACCGTCATTATAATTTCTTTACTTATTTTGATCAGTAACTGAATAGATCACGTGTAGAGGAAATCAGGATATGCTTAGATTTGTATAACTTAACGAGAGCTCTTGTTCAAAACAGTGAACTCGTGCCGTTATGTGAGAGTACACAAACACACAGACACACACACACGTGCAGCGAGCTTCTGAAAATGTCCAGATTTTGTGGCTGTGCAAACAAAGTTTTTACCCAGACTGTTTTGGGGGCTTTTTCTGGCTTTTCCTCTGGTAAAATTCCTCCGTCCCTTGGGTGTTGTGAGAACACAGCAGGAAGTATTTGGGAGAATTCACCACAAGCAAGTGAACGAGGATGATGACGGTTCTGGCAAGTGATGGGTAACATGAATTAAAAACATCCAGGACTGAAAGAAGATAAGAACCACATCCAAGACAAGGCTACTGAATTACAGCATTACACCTTATTAATTAAAAACATGGAGCTCCTGCCCTGAGTGTTAAATCAGAGGAAGACAAACCAAATATATGATTCCTTATATTTGGTGCACGTAATATTTGACGTCAGGGGTCTTTATTGGCATGATGACTGGTATCTACACTATACTGGATAACTAATGATATTTCATGAGGATGAGTGTCTGCTGTGGACTATTCTGACAGACAGGTTGGTAAAAATATTCACCGAACCCCTGATACTTCAGCTCCTTACAATTCATATAAAAAACAGTCCAGATGACAATGGAATGATTTAGCTTGATAATCTCTCCTGGGCCCAGGGCACATCACCCCTCTCATAATCCAGCAGACAGTTTTCGGGATGCGTGGGGCAGAAATGTGTGTCTGTGTGTGTCTTCAGTTCAGTGTGTAGTGATGATGGTCTTCTCTCTGTAAGTGGGACAGGCAGGAGACTGACTATTATTTCAAACCTCTTTGTGGGAGTTGGATGTGACTGAACTGTGAGTCGCTCGTGCTCCACTGAGAGACGGCAGGAGCTGTCTGAAAAGCTAAAAATAGACTCCTGTATTATTTCAGATTAGCATGCGAGGACATCTGTTCCTTAGAAATGATAAAATGCAAACGTAAGTCATGTTTTTGAGCAGCTGTGTTTAAAGCTCTTATATTAACCTTGTTAGATTAAATTGTAACTAACTCTGAATCACCAGAAGGGATGCTGTTGTTTATTTAGCTTACTTCAATAAAAATGAAAGCTTAATTCCTTCACAAGAACAGCTCTGGTGGATTAAAATGCATTTGGGCAAATCCTTTAATTTATGGCGTTACAGCGTGAGGTCAGAGCCAGAAGGCAGACACATTTCATTATTAGAAATTACACACCACTCACAGCCCAAGTGAATAATTAGATTGTGTGAGCAGACAGTAATGGCAGTTTACCACACAGGCTAGAGGCTGCCCATGGAGGTAAATGTGTAATGAAGAGAGGGGGAATCAAATCAGGACGAGGAAACATTGCATCATATTTAAAACCATTTAGTCCAAATAAAAACCAACATTAACCAAGGGATTGTAAATTTTACAGTCAATGAATAAGTAAATAACATTCATGAATTTCTAAATGCAGTGAGTCAAGACAGAAACAACCTGCATGAAAATATATAGTGCTTGCAGAGCACTAAATATAGATATTTTGGAGTCTGTGACTTTTGCTTTTATGATTGCGATTAATTTGCTATCTATTAAAAAAAAGACTGAGAATACTAAGATAAAAAAAATTACCACGGCCATGATTAGGATAACCTAGCACTAAAGTAGGAGGGAGTTGAATCTGCAACTAGTGCAACAAGCACTTTAGCCTCTGTATTAGTAACTGTGTTGATGTTATAATGAATAATGTAACTGTAATTTAAGTGTTATGGGGCGCTCACACCATCTATCTAAATCATCTATTCGCGTAATTTTGCGCAAATCTAGACGCCTGAATGAATAGTATTTACTCGCTTCATTTGTGCGTCAACGGTAATTTCAACGGTAATCCCTGCCAATTCAACCGACGGTATCAAGTCATAGACAAAGATTTTTCACAATTTACCAGGTTTTTCGACCTCCTCACTCACTTGCCTTCAGAAAAGGTATCATATAATTCGGGGCACCCACACACCGACACGCTCAGTTTGTCCTCCAGTGAACAACCGTCCATTTTCATACATCACACTGCAACCTTCGCTCAAGTTGAGACATTTTCGTCTCCCGTCAATCCGCGTCATTTGCGCCACCAGAGTAGTAGGAGCGTCTAATCGTGTCTTTGCATTGACTTAACATGTAATTCATTGGCGTGAATGATTTTACCCGTGCTTGATGTGTCTCAAATGTAGTGATTCTGAGCAAATAGACAGGAGGATTAGCAGCACACTGAAAAAACAAACCTTCACATTTCCAACCACAGGTTTCACAATGACAACACTTTGCTTTTTTGTTAGAAATACAGCCTCTGCACATACAAGTCAACACCAACCAATTGAGAAGTCATACATCTTATCTTTGCCTATAGGGGGCACCAAAATGGGCACAAACTGAGAGCTCCTTGCAGCAGCTTTAACTGTTAAAAAATGTGACATAACATGTCTCGGTTTGTATAAAGGCAAATATTTTATCAGCATGTCTGTTATAATTTTTACCCATTCTCAAGGTTGTTGCCAGAAAAATAGTTATTACATTAATAAATGAAAAACATTTGTAGAGTTCTACTAGATAAAAAGCTGTGTAGTGAAAACGCAACATATCATATATTGAGGTTTCTGGTATATATTTTAGGTAACCATTTTGGACATTTCACCTAACAGTAAAAGTGAGGTCATGTCGATGGTGTTGTTTCATTGGTAGATCATATTGTGTTTAAGACAAAGATATCTAGGATCAAACTTGTGTCACCACTTTGGACCATGTGATTTTTGGTATTGTGCAATTGGAATGACGATAGCCTGGAGAGGGTCCATGCACATGTTCTGGTGCACTGCTGACACCCTGACTGTCTGATGCGTCACTTCCAGTCAAACAGCAGTACTCATGCAGCCTCCAAGGTCTGCGCTTCTCCATGGCAACAGAGACGCACTCAGCCTGAGCAGCATGATGTCAGACAGCTTTAAACGTGTCTCGTTTTACCCAGAGGAAGACAAGTTTGTCGAGGGTCAAATCCTGGAAGCAATCACCAGCTGAAGATTATAAAATATTTAGCAAACACAGTTAAATTATGTCCAACAATATCTTTTCTCAGCTTTCAGTTTCCTTCCTTTTTTTCTGCTGGTCTTTAAATTCAGGGAAATGATAAATATTCACATTACAGACTCACAAGTGAGGTTAATCTGTCCATAACCTCCCTTTGATCTACATATTTAATCCTCCAAACTCTGTAACTATTTTTAGTGTCCAGATTAAAGTAATCCTCACATGAAATCTGCACCTCCCAATTTTCTGTTAAACGGTGGACCCAAATATAGCACACATTAAACGGCAGAAAAAAAGTCTTTTAAAGTTCATAGATGGATTTATTTGTTTTTTATGATTTAAGGATTTTTGCCATCGAGAGTGTGTTTACTGAACATCCTGCTACATCATTTCATATGTGTTGTATGGTCCAACAAATCAGCCAAACAATAAATCTAGTTTCTATAGGAGTATTTATTGCATGGTCCTAAATCCTTTTCCATTGTTTAATAACAGAAAACATATTACTGGCGACAAAGTGAATCAACTGGCTCATTTCCCTGTGAGCATGTGTCTGGTTTCTGTTGGAAAGGCAGCAAAACTGCCAGTAAACCTCATTTCTTGGAAGTCAGATAAGAGGACTAGACACAGGAGACTGTACTGTGTCTCTTGTTAGCTGGAAAGGACGACATGCTGGTTTTCTTGGATGTGTTTGAACGTCTGTCACTGTGCCTGGGAAAAATAATTGAATTGGTGGACAAATCGTTTCTCTTTTTCGATTTATTTTCAGCTATATGAACAATGGTAATTCCTCTGTAACTTAAATATTAGTTTTAACATTAATGAAGGACCAGTTCACCCTTTAAAAAATATCAGTTCCTAAATAACTGGTTATTTTTTGTGAAAACTCAGTATCATAAGCAATTTCCTTGTGACTGTAGATGTCATTATTGGTGGAACTTTGTATATCATTACCAAAGATGAAGTTAGGCAACAAATAAGATGTCTGTGAGGTTTTACACTTTCCTGTTTTTTGGCTATCTGGAAGGAAAGCCAGTATACTGAGTTAATGAAACTTGTCCAGGGCCCATTTGGGAGAAGCCAATTGCTCGGTCCCTGGAAGTACAACTTGCAGATTTCTCAAGAACCTCTTATCCAATCAGCTTCTTACAAAGCACTGCATATCCCAGAGACTGGACAATGGACAAAATTCAAAATGGCAATAATTGCTCAAGAACACAAATATGTGAGATTGCTGATTAAAGGGATATTCCGGCATAAAATTAATTTAGTGTCAAACACACGGTAACACTGAGTTAGGGACCCCCTCAAGAGATGAATGTTGCCGACCGCTTGCTTCTCTAGTTACACCAACTTTAGCAACAACCGTTACGGTGTGTTTGACCCCTGTGTTTGACACTTATAAGTTCTTGGGTGATTTGGTGCATGTCATTCCCCCCTCTCTTTTGCCTTGTGTCTTGTCTCTCAGTAGCGGCCTTATCAAATAAAGGTTAAAAATTGTGTATGTGTGTATTTGTTTGTCTGATTTTGTACATGTGGTTTTCACAGGTCTTGGACTTTGAGCGTGAGAGCGAGTACATCCTTGTGATCAGTGCTCAGAACCCTGTGGCTCTGGTCCGTGGGAGATACGGACCTGCTTCCACAGCGACGGTTTCCATCTATGTTGATGACGTGAATGAAGGTCCAATCCTGTCTCAGAGTCACTATGAGGTCACTGTCCGAGAGGGAGAGGAACCAGGACGGGTGATTGCCACCATCAGGGGTTATGACCCTGATTCTCATCCAATCAGGTGGGACTTAAAACTTATGATTCATAATGTTCAGCTTTACTGAACTCAGAGAGAAGGTCATGATTTTAATTTTAAAGCACGTCTTTTCTTGCAGATATTCACTCCAAGGAGACACAAAGAAATACTTCTCTATAGGGAAGTATTCAGGTGAACTGAAGACTGTGCAGGCCTTGGACAGAGAGGAGAACAGCACATACACGATGGAGGTCATTGCAGTGGACGGAAGTAAGATGACTAACCCATACAAACAGCTGAAAATCATGAGAATAAACATAGAAAACAAGAACACAGATAGAGCTCACAGCAGCAGTAAAGAAAAATTGAAGAAACTATCAACTTTGCAAACATTGAAGCTTCGTAGCTCAGTATCTTTTTGTTCATGTTGCAGCTTTTTCATATCTCTTGTGGTCCTCAGGAAACTCCTCTTTATCTGCCTCCACCCTGGTGACAGTCCAGATCCTGGATGTGAACGACAACAGTCCAGTGCTGGTTGGGGATTATTCCTGGAAGTACCTGTGTACGCCCCGCTGGGAGGACCAAGCTCTGGTGTTGGCGTCCCGGGATAGTGACGGGCCACAGCACGGAGGGCGGCTTAACTTCTCTCTACGCAGTGACGCCACAGTACGACGGAACTGGAAGCTAACACCCATTAATGGTGAGGTGAATACAGACCAGGTGAACCAGGTCTATACTACACTGGTTTGATCGATCGAGGCTCTTGTGAGGAGTCTTTTAGAAGATCAAAATGAATAATGATGCCTCTGCCAGAGTTATATAAAAGAAAATGAGACCAGATTTTTATCCGGTACCTGGGCTGGTGTCAAAGTAAGTTACAGAAAATCGTTTATTTACATTTTCTCAGAGCAAAGAAAAGCAGTGAGTGAAACCTTTGACTGTATGAAGATAAGAGGATGAGAGCACATGCAGATGGGTTCAAAAGGAGACGCAAACAAAAAGTTTCTTACTGGAGCTTTCCATGGATACACATCTGAAACATACTTTATCAATTTTAACAGCGTTTGCATTAATAACAGAAGTTAAGATGTTGATCAGGGTTCTTTTAAAGTACGCCTAAATCGGCTCTTATCCTGGATTCTTGCACGGTGTCACAACCAACACAAGGGCTGCTACAACAAAGTTTATATGTTCACGAGAATACCAGTAACAAAAAATTTACTCTCGGGTGAGCATACGTCCTCTTTTACCCGGACATGTCCTCTTTTTTGGGGGCTGTCCGGCTTTGTCCAGGGAAGTTTATAAAATCCTTCAAATGTCCGCGTTTTTGGACGCAAGTTTCGAGTTTATGTCATGTGGACTTACTGAGTAAGTTGTGCGTAAAAGACACCCTATCCGACCCGAAAAACTCTCAAAATTAACTTTGTGTGACTCCGTGACTCCGCCCCCTCATAGACGTGTCCTCTTTTTGGTAAGTCAGAATATGGTCACCCTTCTTTTCTCGATGAATCAGCTAATGAGTATCTCATTTGAAGTGAGTAGCTAATGTGTGGGCAGTGTTTTACAGGGTCAGCCTGACCTACAAAGTTGGCCGAAACAATGCAGAGCACTGAAGAGGATGTGCGCTGAGATAGCCAGGATTTCAGTGCACCTGGGACTCTGGTCGGGTGCTCCCAGGTGCATTGAAACCCTGCCCACAATAAGCAAGAAACATACACAGAAATAGAAAGGGTAAAGCAGTCAAAGCAGGCTCTGCTGATGAAGGAAGACCCTCGCAGGACTGCATATCTCTGCAGCCACACAAACCTGCCATGTGTTTGGTCCTCAAACACCAACACTTGACCTGGATTATCCCTGATTTGACTCAGACAGGAGCCATCACAACGACTTTATCTCCTTTTTTTTTTAATTTTATCATCTTCATTAAGTCAAATTAATACATCATTGAGTCGTTTGAGATGACTAAAGGTGGAAATTAAATCCAGGTTTTTACATTCAAAGGTCCAGGGTCCACTTTTTAATGGATCAGCCCGTCTTCAGTTTGAGACTGAGGAAGTGAGGTTAAAAAGCAGATTGATGTCACCCGGGAACACGTCTGAACATTGTGACATTTTAGACAAATAGACATGATGGCACTGATTTTTTTAAGTGCTTTCAGGTACTCGGACTTATTTAAATAAAAACTGTCCACTTGTAAGAACAGACAGTTCAGGAGGCAGAGTGATCTGGTCGTGAAGATGTGCAAATTGCTCCTGTTCTGTTTTCTTCTCCGGTCCTATCTTGGATGGGGGCTGAGTTGTGATTATCCTTTTCTCTTCACAGGTGTAGAGCGCTAGTGTTGGGCTCATTTGATGCAAACTCTCTCCCGCTATGACGTCTGTCATTAAGTGATTCAAACAGTTCAACAACTTCCCTCTCAGGTCTTTTTTCATCTCCCTCCTTTCACTCCCCTGTTCTTGTTGGTATTGATTGAGCCCAGCTGTAATTATATCTTCTGTGTAATTTCTTTGGCGTCACCGCTGGGTTCCTGCCAGCTAATGGAGGCTAAAAAAAGGAGACTCCCAGAATGCTTTGCACCTGGTCTGAGCCGGTAATGCTTGTACCAATAATGTGTACTTTTACTGGTTTGATGTCTGCCACGGAGCTGCACAGTTTAAGTGACAAAAAGCCACAACCTGACAGGAAAAGAAAAAAACCCGTGTGTGTCGGTTTGTGAAAGTGTGTTTTATTTTTATTCATGTGAGCTCTCTTCAATATTCTTCAAGTTCAAAACCTCTCCAGTTATTTTCGTTGCAGAAATTCAGTTCAGCTCATGAAGCAGTACACACTTGTCCCAGTTACCTTCGCTGTCAATCACCGCTCACAGCAGAAGAAACCTCCCTGCAGCATGTGTAATGACGTTTGTGACATTTCGGCAGAAAAATTAATCAGTATTATTTCAGAACCTCAATTTGCAAACATTTTCATAATTAATGACACAAAGAAAATCAAGAACATTTCACGGTGTCACAGATAGAGCACAGATACATTAACAGCCTCTGCAGAAGTGCTGCTCAGCCCGTGCATTACTGACAAATGGAACATGAAGGGGAAAGACGGTGAGGTGCGAGCGTGGAGTTTAAGACCCTCAGATAAGAGTTCAAACAGTTTGATAAACCTCTTCGCTCTACATGACAGGGCTTTTACGTCATGCGGCAAGGCGTGTATTTTCAACTGATTTGCACAGATTAGATTAAGAGGTACACACTCCAGAGCTCTGCGTACATACATGCTTACATACATACATACAGCTCCATCAGTCTCCCTCTGTCATTATGCTGCTGAGCAGATGTATTTTGCTGGGTTTTGTTGAAACAAAAATGCACGTGTTGATAGATGAATACTAGATTATTAACATACTACCTTCATTCTATGAGACGCAACAGTGCATTTAACATTTGATATCTCTATTTATTCATGACAACACCAACGATTTTGCTTTGGAGCAACATCCTCATTAAACTCAATCCAGTATTGCAAGGAAGGGGCAGGACTAGATAAGCTGTTTGCTTCATTCTGTTCCTTCTCAAACTGTTTGTTTTTGACATATATAGGTTAGTGTAAATTTATCTTTGACATGTACAGTTGATTGGTGTACATATGTATTATTTTGCTCCATATTTTTGTTTCTCGTTGTTTTTTGTTGTTGTTCTTAAAGTTTGAGAGAAAGAAACAAGTACTGCAAAGTATCTTATTACACTTTTAAACAAAAAGAAGTGCATTGACATGACAATTCTATAGCTCTTATTTTAAGATATAACAAGAAAAATTTAGGACTTAATTAATTATAACGAGTAAAAATGGCTGCCACTTCGACAATAGAATAAGTATTCCTATTATGAACACAGCCTTTTTTGGTGTTTCAAGTTTTCATATTCTACTTTGATGATTATGATTTTTTATATTTGAAAACTCAAATAATAAATGTTGGTCTTCAGTGGGAAAAACTGAAAAACATTAAGCTCATAATTTTACTAAAGGAGAAAATTATTCAAAAATCTTTAATTTGGTGTCATATTTCTGGGTTCGAACCCCGCCTTATCCCTAGTCTGTCCGTTGTGTCCTTGGGCAAGACACTTAACCCACCTTGCTCCCACTGTGTGTCCTCCACTGGTGTGTGATTGTGAGTGTTGTGTGGTGGTGGTCAGAGAGGCTTTAGGCACAAACTGACAACCACATTTCTGTCAGTCTGCCCCGGGGCGGCTGTGACTAATCAGGTAGTTTTCCACCACCAGGGTGTGACTGTGTAAGTGATGTATCCAATGTAAATTTGAGGTCACTGACAAAAAGCTATGAAAATCTGATGCATTATTATTATTATTATTTTCTGGACCAACATGTTAGTGTTTTGTTTTCCAGATACCCACACCAACCTGTCCTTAAACATCCCATACCTGGCTCCTGAGGTCTACACAGTGCCCTTCACCATCTCTGACAGCAGCTCCCCACCCAGGAGCACCTTCATAAACCTGCCAGGTAACACACTGACTCTCCTGCTGATGAGCTGAAGCCAGAGCCGTGAGGTTAGCAGATGAGAGTGTAGGAACAATCAATACAGATCAACCCTCTGTGTGCCAGCTTGTCCTAGCACTGCTCGTGTTTGATAATGATGCAATGGGGCTTTACAAATGATTTTTCCAGGCTTGTGATTACACGGCCCTCTTAAGACTGCGCTCTGCTCAGTGTAGCCTGCTGACACTTCGTATACACAACACATAACTTATCATACACATATCAGGATAAAGCACATGGCTGAGGGTTCATGGCTGGTGGTTCACAGCACTGATATTTTATGTAGCCTTTCAGAAGTTAAATAAGGTTAATTTCCTCATAAAACTTTGTTTAAAATACATTTTACAATCAAATGTAAACACAGCTTTAGTAATATTTGGAATTGTTTAGAAGATTTTTAGACCCAATCATTAATCATTCAAACGACACGTTCTCCTGATGGTCTGTATTTTCTTATACTTGTGCTCTATTGTGTGACATTAAACAGCCTCATTCTGTGGTTTGTTTTTGTTTTCCTTTCCTGTCAGTGACTGTGTGTCCCTGCAACATCAGAGGGAACTGCAAAATGGCTGCCAAGCAGCTGCCGGGCATGCCAACTATTCAGTCTGCGGTGGGCATTCTGCTTGGCACTTTTGCAGTCATAGGTAAGCAGACATGTAGCTGCATTTCACACTTAAGTCAAGTTTATCAAAACCATTGCAAAAGTCGTATATTTGTATATACATTAGGTCAGCCCTTCTTTCTTTGCAAATAACAGCAGTATCTCTTTTTCAGGAACCATCCTCATTGTTGTGTTTGTGAGACTCTCCTATCAGAACCCCAAAGAGCCGAGCAAAACTAACCAGGAGAGAGTTCCTCTTAAGATCTCAATCTAATCATAAAGATACTGTAATGTTTCCTGCTTTCTGCTCAGGCCAACGGCAACATCGTTGCTTTCAGGGCACTAATTCATTAAATGACCATGAATGTCTAAAAATGAATGTAAATTTCAGTAATTGGATTGAAGTTTGGATGTTTGGCGACCTCAAAGTAAAATTAGAGGATAATCCAGACTATTCAAGTAATGTGAGTAATGTATTTAGGTCTGCTTCTGGAGACATGATGTTGAATTCATTTTTCAGTTTGTCATTTTTTGATATTAACCTTTCCATTTGTTTATTAGCTCTACTTACTCAAGGGCAGAATATGGTCATGGCTGAAGAAAACTGAAAGAAAAGGGAATAAAGTTTTACCACAAAATAAAATGTTGATACACCTGAAAAAGAAACCCCCCTTTTTCAAATCAGAATTGTGTGATGAAGATCATTGTATTTATATAAGAAAAAAGCGTATGTTTTGATGTCATGCCTCAACCAGAAAACAAAACCCAGTATGACCCCACTCTTATCAGCTTCTCTCTGATGCCTATACTTTCATGTATTTACCCTGCATGAACCTGTTCCTGTTGTTGTTTTTAGTTATACCTGTCTGGTCTTTGAACCATGACAACATTTTCTTTTATAGTTATAATCATTTGTATTATTTTGATGTAAAATCATAAATCAGAAGACATCTGCCTGTAAATGCTGAAATGTGATTTGATCTAATTTGACACAACAGCAGAATTAAAATGATGCAAGCACCAGTAATGCATCATTTCTTTTAAAATCGTTTCTTTTTTACTTCTTTTGTTCCTTTTGTTTCATCAAGTCTTACTGTACATAAGCAAGAGTATAGATCTGGAGCAATGAATCTCCCATTTACTACAAGACATTTCTTCTTTTCTACCTACACTACAAACCAAAACACTTTTAATGTAATGAGACAGTCTGAAATAACATGTTTGTAACTTCATTAGCAGCACGCTCCGGTCTCACTGATTAAGCCTTTATGAATGTTGACCCAGGTGACCTCACAGACAGGCAGAGCTATATTCAGACCAAAGTGTGGCTATAAATAGCTCATGGAAGGTCCACTGGATGACATTTAGCCAGCACTGTCCAACAAACTAATCACCTCTCATTCACAAAAGACAAATTCAATAAATGCTCTATATTCATCCATTATCTTGCTGTGATGGGTTTAATTAAATTTGAGTCATACTTGGGAGGAGGGGAAAGGAGAACACCAAATTTCAGTGTTGTAAATGCAATATGCTGTATTTAATAGACAACAAAAAAAGTTTACTCATACGTTTGTGGCACCACGTAGATTCTGGGATACTTTTGTTCCTCTTAGAAAAGAGAAACTATTTTTGACTAACTTTGTTGTTGGTCGAAGTTGAGACAAAAAATATTTGGATTAATCTTGGTGCAGAAAGCCAAAAATGTACCAGTGCGGTCAGACAAATATCAATAGGGTGACCATATTCTGAATCCCCAAAAAGAGGACATGAGTACGCGAAGGTGTAGTCATGGAGTTGCACATAGTAAATTTTGAGAGTTTTTTGGGGCAGGTTGAGTGTTTTTACGTGCTTTTAACTCAGTAAATCCACGCAACACAAACTCAAAACTTGCATACAAAGCCCCGGACATTTAAAGGACTTTACAAACTCCCCGGACAAGGCCAGACAGCCCCTCAAAAAGAGGACATGTCAGGGTAAAATAGGACGTATGGTTACCCTACTATCAACAGATTATGTTTGAAGCTGATGTGCCTCGCAGACCATAAACAGCTTCAACAGCAGCAAAAGCTTACAGTTTATTGACAATCAGAAAAAACCATGGTATGGTCCATGGTAGAGAGTCATTATACCAGGTTAGGTAGTAGCATGATACAATAAACATTTAATGTTTTAAGATATGAAAGTACACCGTAGGTCCTTTGTGGTTTTGCAGTGAGTTCCTCTGTATTGTTATACTAAAAAGTCAGTCCAGTATAGATGAGTGGAATAGCCCTTTAACCGGGACTTCAACATAAGTCCATGACTCTGAAATGGACAGTTTTTGATACAAGAAAATGATCTTTACTGCATGAGTTGTAACTAAATGAATGGTTTCAGCATTAGCAATGGCTGAGCCCTAACGGTAACCATAAGGCAAATTGAATTACAATTTCACTCATTCAGTATTTATTATAAAAACAAAGTCAAGAATCAAAGGTCATTCATGCGGATGTCAGTGGCTGTATATTTTTCTTTTTATCTACCAGCATAGAGGAAGTAGACCTTTGTAGGGTAAACTAGCAGACTATTAAATTTCGGCATCTTATTATCTTGAGTGTTTTGGCATACAATACTGAGAAACTAACAAATCAACAATGGACTAGAAATTAGCTGGCAAACACAGAAATAACCACATTAGCATATTCACCAGGACGTGTAAAGATCAGGCTCCTTCAGCCAGGTACACTCAATAGGCAATGACTCACCAAATATGCTATATGCTGATTGCCTACTCGCCCGCTGCCCATTTGTATTAGGCTATTTATATCTGCAACTGTTCCAATCAAAGCACAACATCCAAGCTTGCAAGTAAAAGCAAAGTACCCTGAGGGAGATGAGAGAGCAGAGGCAACAGCATAAGCTTGTGACACAGGGTCAGGCATTACATTTGGGAAGTAATGAGCCTCCAACTTTAGCCTTGATGTGTCCCCACTGATCCCCGGTACACAGGGATGGTTCAGCTATCCAACATGGGGTGCAAGGCCACAGAGAAAAAATGGGGGTGAGATTTCCAATCACTTCAAGTAGCTTGGGAAATGAGAGATAATTCACCACATGTGGATGGACACTCAGGGACAGCTTTTCCCTGAGAGGCCAGCTGGTTTTCCATTACTCACTTAGCAGCACAGACCTTGTGTTTCTCTTAACCCCCCCTTGAGTTTCCCCACAACTTTGGCTATTTAAAGCTTGTTTTAAGATCATCTTGATTCACTCTGGCTCCAAACTTGATATTTTTCCCATCCGTAGTTGTTAAAAGTAACAGTACTGCTGTCACCATTTCTCATAAGTCTTCTGACCTTTGTGAATATAAAAACACATAATTTGATTTAGTCAATTAAAAAGAAAACACGTGTAATCAAATGTCCTGTTAATAGCACATGTTTTGGAGTTGAAAATAAAGTAAAACGCATAAAAATAGGTTGAGAAATGAACAAGTTATGACTTATTTTCAATGTACACACAATGGCTTTAATAGGAATGTTGCCACTACCAAGATGGCTGCCATGTAAGCGCTGGTTGCTACAGCGTGCTAGTTTTCTGTATATATTGTATGTATTTGTGGTTATAATGCTGTGTTTGAGTTACTTTGGAGGTCAGATGTCTGAGCTGGGAATGACGTCACATCCGAGTTACCAGCATTTCAGTTACCAATTCAGAAAAAAGCGAAATCGGAGGTGGAAATAAGATGGCTACACCCACGAAAATTATTTTAGCATTTGTTATTTTAATTGTTTTAAGTTATTTTAGCATCCCCTTTCGGAATGTAGCCATCTTGTTTCCGCCTCCGCTTTTGTTTTTTTCCGACTTGGTAACTGAAACGCTGGTAACTCGGGTGTGACGCCATTCCCAGCTCAGACACCTGACTTCCGAGGTAACCCGAAGTCTTTGCTAAGGGAAGTAACACCATGGAAACCATGTCCTCGATGAAATAAAAAAATAAGTGTAACATGTTTTTTAGGAAATTTAAGGTTTTTCCAGAGAGCAGATGCTCCTTTAACTAATTCACTGTACTTTGTCCACTTAGCAGAGAAAATTAGCTTCTCACTTTGACTTAAACAACCCATTATGTTGAATTCACTGCAGAACTAAATATGTCTACAGCCTGAGGCAAACAAATGTGTTTATGACTCCTTGATATTGATTACATTAAGGCCATGTTTTGTCATAAAAGACATAATCTTTTTTTTATTCTGATTTGATGGACCGGTAGTTTTGTTGAAGCTGCTTAGAGGTTTTATTTATATAGTGAATGGACCAGGCTTACACTACATTATTCATGAATTAGTCTTCCATAAAGTGGGTCACATCATTTTGCTGGGATTTTATCAAGACAAAATCAACCTGAAGAGGAAATCTGCCTCAAAACAAAAACCGACACTCAGCTATATCTGCAAATCTGTATACATATACCCCTGATCCTCTATGTTTTCTTTTAAAATGTTTATCCAACAAAGGACTTGTAAATGTTTGATAATTAAAAAGAGTGTCTAGCATTAGAAATAGACTCCTCTGAGACTTAAACATAATCCAACTTGTATTTGCGGTGATGTGGATCTATTGTAAGCTGAGGGAAATGTCTCTGTGAGAGATCAGTTTATTGTTCATTGGAATGATTTGTCATATCTCTGTAAATAACAGGGGTGTGGAAATTAGGAACAGATTCATATACGACACTTATTAGCATTTTGATTGCAGTATGTTTGATTGGGGTGCACTTCAACAGGAGGCAAACACCTTTTATCATCTTACTGAATACCACTGATTGCATGTAGAGCAGAGCATACAGGCTTTCATCTGAATATCTGTGCAATAAAAGCTCCCACCAACCAAAGAGCAAGGGCATGAAGGACATCTGCTTTCTGTTAATGTTCTTCGAATGGAAACTTAATTCTTAAAGGTTAAAACTTAAGTGTTTTCCCTGTGAAATGACCCCCAGAAATGTTGCGATAAACGGCCGGCAGTGTGTGGGAAAAAAAATTTGCCCTCAGATGTTGCAGCATCTTCTGCTCTTTCAGTAAATTATGTTTGACTAATATAAATTGCCTGCAATTACTGGCAGTTGAGAAAGGTCAGAGGCTGTTAGGGTTTTCCATTTGCACGATAAATTGATTCCTGACAGCAATGGTGCTGCCTAACAGGAACACAAAGCACTGGTGCGTTATGTTGCATCACCATGACTGATAGTGAATCCAGCTGTCCACTTTACAGTAAGCTCTCAAGGGAACCGCTGCA